TTTTCAAACACTCTGCTGCCATGGTGACAATGAGGAAGTTCAATTTTCTCATTATCTGTACAAATGTAGATCACATTCATTGGATATGTATACTGCAGGAAGCTTCGTTCTTTGCTTGCAGCCTTTCAAGATCATCCCACTTGTTTGACACATTTTGACAAAATTTGGAGTGACTGCATCCAAAAAAACCTTGTACTAGAACAATTACATACTGAAATCCTTATGATGCTTAGAATAGACCTTTAATGGGACACTATAGGCACAAAAACCACTTCATCTCTTTGAAGTGGTCTGAGTGCAGGGTGTCTCCTTAACCCTGCAGCTGCACAAACATTGCTGGTTTAACAGTGTGATGGTAATCACCATCACCTGGGATTTCATTCGGACACTTTATGTAGGACCAAGGGGTGTAGTTGAGGATTAGAGGCTACAGTGGAGTGTATGTAATTGGGGAGTTAGGAAATGTAGTAAGGGGATAGGGACTGAAGAAGGTTGGTGGCTACAATTTGGGAAAGGTGGGTGATATGGGCTGCAATTGGGGGAGAGCAGCTGTAGTGGGGATGATGTGGGACTGTAGTAAGGGAATCGGGGCTGTAGAAGTGTATGGGGTGTAAAAGTGTGGTTAGGGCTGCAGTTGGAGGGATGTGTAGTAGGGGAGTTAGGGGCTGAGAGAGGGGACAGGGGGTAATTTCTCTATATTATTTCTGCACATTTCCACACTTCACTAGGCTTCTACTCAACAATATGATATCAACAACCTCGTTATCACTGTTTTAGCTTTGATGTAAGTTAATGTGACCGTATAACATCTTAGTTCAAATACAACTTTGGACTGGGATGCAAAATGTTTGGACTGTTTTAACCACTAAAATTGAGGTTTTCTTAATTGGGCAAGGTGGGCGATCTGGGTACTGGCAGAGTTTTTTTTGTTTTTTGCAAATATCATCATTACATTACAATGATTAAAGTGTTACTGCCACAATCTATAAAGATAGAATCTTTATTCAATACTCCTATTGACTGTGCTGGAATAAATTTTTCCTAAGCCTGATAAAGCTTGACATGGGGTGGAGCTACTGCTGCCAAGCTTCTCATTTCCCCCAGCCGATAAGAGTGATGGCCGCAGGGAAATTATCTCTATGGAGGATACTGCAGTCTCGCAAAATCCTCTATAGCACTCAATGCTGTACACTTGCACAAGAGCGACAGTGCAACAGTGATGTTGGCTACCGGCAGTTAAATCGCCAGTAGCAGACTAGGAGCACACAGACAGAAGGCAATGGTGGTGCCAACAAGGAACAAGTAAAGCTCACTTTTTCCTGCACCCCCACCCAGTCCACCAGCAATGATGTCACCATCCTGGGTCTTTATGCAAAGTCCCTAGACGGTGACAGATCCACTTTAACTAATGTATATACTTTAATCCACCTATTCATTATAAAAAAAGATCTTAGTCTTGCTGATTATTATGTACTGGAATTTATTTAAATTTTTAAACTGACCTTCATATGGACTCTTAAAAATCCTTCAGTGGCTACAGTACATCAAACAAGCTTGGATGCTGTATCTAAAAGTCTATTAGCTAGACATAGACATGTATTTGGCAGCTTGTAATCATGTTAGTTATCAATTGCCCCCATACCAGCTTCCTATCATAGACAAGCTAAAAAATAAATAAAATAAAAAAGGAATAAATAAAACTTGAAAAAAAAAAAAAAAGCTAGAATTTCCCCATGGGTTGTCACTCGACACTTAAAGCAGGCTATTATTTCTATAATCAGAATACTTTGGGATTATATAAATTAATCCATAAGCGTTCTCTCTTTCGTAGGAGTCTGGCAAATTTGTCGAACAGGTCTGTTTCTCTTTCCTTGCCTGGATAATCTGCATATCACTTTTCTCCTCTGTGTCTGCCTAAACCACAGAATAAGTCACATTCTCTTGTGTGTTTGACAAAATGGTGACAGGGTCCTTTTCACCTTCAGTGACTGGCTAACTTAAAGATCAATGCTGTCTCATTTGTTTATTTAAACCACAGACCACTTCTCTTTTCTCTCCTGTGAATGGGGAAACCATAACACATAACAGAGTGGGTCTGGAGCATTAACAGACCTCCAAAATGGGCTGTGGGATGTTAACTGGGAAGATTTGTTTAACCCCTTAAGGACACATGACATGTGTGACATGTCATGATTCCCTTTTATTCCAGAAGCTTGGCCCTTAAGGGGCTAAAGCAGGGAGAAGGATCTAAACGTGGAAATGAGATATGAAGAAAGTGGCAGTGTGGCGGAACCAACCTCGCCACTGTGCACTGGAGAAGCCTGGTTGCGCGCCAGCTCCCTTTAGACTATGGCCCCTGTTCTTTTACCCTGCAGAAAGGCTGGTTTGTGCCTTTCTGCGGACTGTTAAAGCCATGCTACCCCAGATAGCTATGCCATGGAGCCCAGCCGTATACTGAAAGACTGTATGAAAGACGTTGGCTCCATGGCGATTGAACTGTATGTATGTGATCTGAGCGCCATCCGGTAATAATGTGCACTCAGATCTAAGCTATCTGGGGATAGGTAGAATGTCTGTATTTTATGTAATAAAGGTAACCTTGTGTATTTTATTGTATTTTACTGGCTTTTTACTGCCAGGTGCTTAATGGAGTTTTGTCTCTGTCCTTGGAGATAATTGGATTACTTCTCAATTATCTCCAGGATAGAAGACTCTGTGGAACTGGTTTTGGGCAGAAAAGCCATGCTTCATTTGGTCACAAAGGACTTCGATCTATCTTTTGAACCAATGGACCAATTTGGATGATTTTGACATATGTTTGTATTTGGAGTATGCTGATTCAGAAAATGTGAATGTGATGCATACTTTCAAAGTTATGAATAATGTGGAAAAATTGTATTCCTCTGCCTGTGATAATTATATCACCTATTGTGTTCAGTAATCATATCACAGGCAGAGGGGAGGATTTTGTGTGGGAGTGTCTGTGTATATTGTACGGATTGATTGGTTGTTCCCCTGTGGGCAGTACTATGTTTGTGGATTGGGAATAAAAGAGGCTGTATGTGCCAGTACAGTCAGATTCTGCATGACCCTCAAACGAAGTGTCGTCTCGATATTGGGGGAATTGGATTGTATGCTGACTGCCAGGAGTGTAACCCTTTCGTATGGTTTTCCTGTTCGGATATTTCCAGTGTTCATATGTTTCCAGTTTGGGAGATCGGTGCTTACAGTAGCTGTCGGTGTATCTGGAAAGGGGAATATCGCCTAAACGGTTTTTAACCTCTGATGAGCAAAACGGTCCGTTACAGGCAGGACCTGTTGGTGTATGATATGGCCACAGGTGTCTGAATTATGTGGAGTTGTCCATGAATAGTTGTCATGGTGATCAGAGCGCCTGATGATTTATCTAAAAATAAATCAAGCTGCATGCACTTTTGCTATCAATAGTAGGTATGGAATATTTAGAAAAGAAGCAATGAAGACTTCCTGTAAAATGGATCTGCTATGGGTGGAGACACCAGATATACAAGGCCATATAGAACAGGGTTAATAATGACAGTATGAGGCCATTGTATACTGGTATGGTAATAACATTAGGAGTCTGGCTACATACCAGTACATTGACTGCATTAAGAGGGTGATTATAATCCGGTACAATTATTACAGTAAGAGTCTGGTTATATACAGGTGAATAGTTACAGTAAGAGCCGGATATATATTGGCTGGTTAAAGCAGTGGTACCTTAGAAATGGGAAACCCATTTTTGAAACATGGTAAAACTACTTTACCAATTAGTGTAAGTTTGACAATTTTCCAATATAAAGCAGAATAGTAAAGAGTAATAATCAAGAAATGTTCTGAAACAAGCAAAAGGAAAACACAGATAGCCTACTGTAGTGATTATGGTGTCAGGAGTACCCTGGCCCCACTCCACGGTAAGAAATCAAACCATTTTAGCATGGATTGACAACTTACTTGACTCCCACAAAACATCCATGGTCCACTCACTGCATAAGATCTTCTCCAGCAAGATTGGTCTATAAAGCAAAGTGAGCCAATACAGGACCATGATCATTGACTGAGCGCATCAACCGAACAATTGTGGCTATGCTTTGCTCTAAACAGTAATACCCAGCTTCTGTTGGACCAAAATGGTTTGACTTCTAATTGTGGCACCATAAGCACTACAGCAGAATATTTATTTAGGGCTATGCTGCCTGCCTGTAATCATCAGGTACATAAAATGCAACTAGTTGGTAAAAGAGTGGTAGGGGAAAAGCAACAAAAGCAGGCGAGTCCAGATAAAGAATCGTTAGAAGGTTTATAAAAAGGAAGGGAGGTGTGACAGTGACATTGGAAAATTTTGCCTGGATTGAGATTTGTAGGCTAGCACTATTATGATTCGTACTGACAATAAATGGTCTATTTGGAAAAGTAGTCTAAGTTCGAGATTAGCAAGAATGCCATCTTTGAACTCAGCCATGAGGTTTGGAAGGGAAATACATGGTTGATCAATGATACAATGCAGTCCACATATGCAGACTTTGTGCTATAAGTCACTCTCCATATAGATTGTTATATCATAATTATTTCAAATTGCATTTAATAATAGTTCCAGTGACGATACAAAACACAAATGCGAGAAAACACCCCTGCCTAGTCCTATTATTAATCTCCATAGTCTATGTTAGAGAACTATTAACTCTGCATGTCTAGAGAGCACCTATTCTATGCTGTAACCTTCTAAATGGTAAAAAATCGTTCAGTGAGACTGCAGGGACGTTATTATTCATGATAATTTGCCTTTCTAAAGTTAACAGACAATGCATCAGGAGAAAGGTAGTTCTTCAAAATCTGCGCACCTCTGCTATTTAGGTACAATTTTAACTCTAGTTGTCTCCTTTTTAATTATTGACAGTAAGTTTTAAAGGGACAGTTGTATATTTTGGGATAAACATATCAAACACACTTATTTAAACTCAACAAGAGTTTCAAAAATTGCTGCTTTCAGTTAATTAGCTTTCCTCTTTCTCCCAAACTCTGAGTGGAGATACTAAGATTTTCACTTCAGACTGTCATATATAGTCCCATTCTCAGAGCAATTCTGATCTACATCTGCTGTCTTATCTCGCCTCCTACCCCAGTGCCCAAGTCTTGCCTTCCGCACAACATTTCACCTTGCTGAGGATGCGAATAATATCACCACGCTGGAATGAAAGCTCATCACCGTTGTCACTTGTGCAATTCCATAGTCCTTGGTAGTAATCTGAATAATTAATTACAGAGTCATCTGCGGAAAGATAAAAAAATATATAGAAAAGGGTAGAGTTACATCAGAATCCCGAGACCAAGTTAATCAACACTGTGCTACATATTGTTCATGACAAAAGGCAGGATTTTTAAAAATCCAATTTCCAGTGCTTTTAAAGGGACACTATAGTCACTTGAACAACTTTAGCTTAATGAAGCAGTTTTGGTGTATAGAACATGCCCCTGCAGCCTCACTGCTCAATCCTCTGCCATTTAGGAATTAAATCCCTTTGTTTATGAACCCTAGTCACACCTCTCTGCATGTGACTTGTACAGCCTTCCATAAACACTTCCTGTAAAGAGAGCCCTATTTAGGCTTTCATTATTGCAAGTTCTGTTTAATTAAGATTTTCTCATCCCCTGCTATGTTAATAGTTTGCTAGACCCTACAAGAGCCCCTGTATGTGATTAAAGTTCAATTTAGAGATTGAGATACAATTATTTAAGGTAAATTACATCTGTTTGAAAGTGAAACCAGTTTTTTTTTTTCATGCAGGCTCTGCCAATCATAGCCAGGGGAGGTGTGGCTAGTGCTGCATAAACAGAAACAAAGTGATTTAACTCCTAAATGACAGTGAATTGAGCAGTGAAATTGCAGGGGAATGATCTATACACTAAAACTGCTTTATATAGCTAAAGTAATTTAGGTGACTTTAGTGTTCCTTTAATCAAATAAAATATACATAGTACCCCAGGTTGAAGATTTCCCTGTGGTCACTTATTCAGAATCAGACACTACTTGGAAAACACAAGGCACACTACTCGGCATCAATTTACAAAAATAGTTCACTTCCCAAAGAACTAAGATTTAATCATGGTGATAACAATGAGGAGTTGTATCAGAGTCTGAAGTAGGGGATAAGCAGTTATAATAGAATACAATTAACTGTAAAGGAATATGAATAGGTTCTCTTTAAATTCATGTATAGTAAGGTAAACATGACATACCATGCACCAGACAGAGACAACATGAAGCAGACCTAGCCTTCTGTTACTTCTGTATTTATTTTATTGATAAATATTTCAAATAACTAGCAATCCACCTCACGCTAACTATAGACAATAAAAGCAGCAAACCCCCACAGCCAGTTGCAAATGTTTATTCATACCGGATTGTGAGTGATCATTTGTCCTTTTAAGATCTTCAGAAAGCTCGAATTCCTCTCCATCTGGAATTAAAAGAAGTAACCAGGAAAGGTCAAATTTAAACATACTATGTGTACCAAAGATAGAAAATCACAATTCATCTATTTGGGCTAGACACCAACATAACTTATAAACACGAAGCAGACATCTGCACTCCTCATCTGTCAGAGTAAAACCAAAAAGCAGCTAATCTACCTGGGCTACACGCCTACAAGTTAAATCCCTAGACCAAGATCCACTTCCTTTATCTAACAGGACAGATCAGAGCATCACACACCTCATCAAGATGAGACACTAACATTCCTCAACTAGAAGGGACATAAAACTAACATCCAATCAACCTATCATTAGTCAACACACCTCATCTAACAGAAGAATGAAAATCATAGTACATCACACAATTACAGAGTCCATATTGCTATATACCTCACTTATCTGGTTCAGATTACATTACAAGAGAAAATGTGATTGCAACCTGTGGAAAGAACAAACATATATTCCTTTCTCTTTTGAGTAAAACAAGGGAAATACCAATTCTGGAGTTGAACCAGTGAAAATTAATTGTAGCTGATAAAAAAAAAACCAAAAAAACATATTGGCTGCTAGGCCTCAACTCCCGAACTCCAGTAAGCTGGAGTTCTCGGTAAGGTGATTTTATCAGGATGCTAGTGGTGACCGGGATATATCCCGCTGGTCCAAAGTGAGTGGTGAGGGAGGGATTTATTGCAAATTCGGTTTAATTTAGAATTTCTTATTTCCTGCTCTGTTAATAGTTCGATAATATACATCCTTCAGGAGACTCCTGTATGTAACTAAAGTTCGATTTACAGAGCAGGAGATAAAAATGTTTAAAGTTAAGTTACATCTAATTGAAAATGAAACCGTTTTGTTTTCATGCAGGCGGTGTCAGTCATAGCCAGGAGAGATGTGGCTAGGGCTGAATAAACAGAAACAAAAGTGATTTAATGCCCACATGGCAGTGCTTTGGGCAGTGAAACTTCAGATGCATGATCTACACACAAAAACTGCTTCAACTTAAAGTTGTTTTGGTGACTATAATGTCCTTTTAAGGGGTTGAGGGAACACGATAATCACCAGAACAACTACAGCTTAATGTTTAATGTCGTACCCTCTGTATGGAGACACTGATTCAACGCATCTCTATGAAGAGATGCTGATTGGTCAGGGTGGCATTTGGCTCTGGCCCCAGGCCCGCCTCCTTAGCCAAGATCATCAGAATGGGAAAGCATTGTGATTGGCTGAGTTCATCACTTCTGATGATGTCAACCAAGGAGGCACATCAAGAGAGGAGCCAGCACCAGCAGACTGAAACAAAGGTAAGATTTTACTTTATCTAGGGGGGCTAGATAGTGTTGTTAACACTACATGTTTGTGTTTCTGACCCAAAAGGGTTCCTTTAAGAAAGAAACATAAAATTATAACAGCATTTCTGTGTATAACTTTGATGGATACAGACAAGTTTTCGAAACTCTTGTTGAGTTTAAATAAGTGTGTTTGATATGTTTATCCCAAAATATACAACTGTCCCTTTAAAACTTACTGTCAATAATTAAAAAGGAGACAACTAGAGTTAAAATTGTACCTATATAGCAGAGGTGCTATATAGTTGTTATCCTGATGAAAGTTCCTGGTAGGAACTGAAACGTCGATATTTGGAGTAAAAATAAGCTTTATTTAAAAATCCTGGGAGTGCTGATTTTTTTCTGTTCTGCATGTCTATTGCAATCTAGCACCGGGGTTCTACATTTTTGTAAGTAGGAGTGCAAAGCTTTTGTTTTTTTCTATATATATATATATATATATATATATATATATATATTGTAACAAACCACCTCTTTTACCGGTAGGATTTTGTCACAGATCTTATGGTAACCACAGCCTTCTAGGGTAATCAAAGTCCAGGACACATCCAGCTCAGTTTTTCTGATTTAATTGGTGCAAAATATACAGGTGTGTAAAAATAAAATAAACAAAACAAAATTCCTTGCTCTTGTTTGAGCACTTACTAAACACAATAATCACTAACTGGAATTGGGTGGCTTTCCCACTTACCAATTTACAATTTACAATAGCAAAATATAGCTGCAAAATACACCATTCCTCTGGCTCTTTCTCCCTCACTCTGCAGCAGGCTGATCCCTTATTTTAAAAGCCTGCCTGCCAATTGACCAGTTACAGGTGAGGATCAATTAATTCACATCTCTGGAACTCCTAAGGTATATACAAGATCTGGTCGTGCTGTTATATAGCAACTAGTGCTATTGGAGCACTGGCCCACCCTGCTCTCCAAATGCTCCGCCCCAGGGACCCATACCGTGTTTTGCATAGTATCAGCAATGTATATTGCAAACTTAATGTCTCTCCCTGGGACATTTAACTAAAAACTCTCTGGCTGCTGTTTAGTAAAGCAGGCCTGATATATCTTCCTTCAACAACCATTCCGCTCACTAATAAATATATATATATATATATATATATATATATATATATAAAAATAAAAATGGTAGGTAACAGCACTCTAAGGACTTCAAAAAGTAAATGGTGAAAAAAAATTCCTGATGAAAGTTCTGTATTAAGAACTGAAACGTCGATTGTGTGTGGCAGTTGCTGAATAAAAGCTAAATTTTTTTCACCATTTACTTTTTGAAGTCCTTAGAGTGCTGTTACCTACCATTTTTATTTTTATGTTATTTGCTTTATTAGCACCAGGCATTAATCTATCTCTACAGGAGTGCAAGTATTTGAATATTTTATATATATATATATATATATATATAGAGAGAGAGAGAGAGAGAGAGAGAGAGAGAGAGTTAAATTTTTTTACAAGGTTACTTAAAATCTGTATTTTGAGGGGGGGGAGGGGGCTGGCTGTCATGGTGGAGAAACTCATTCAGAAAGAGCTCCGCCGCTGTTCTGACAAAAACTGCTGTTTTTTTTTTTATCTTTCTTGCTCGAAACAGCCAAACTCCAAGAGGGGTTAACTTCATAACCTACCTGAAAAGCCAAACAGCGACTAGTGACTTACCGGGAGCTTGACCACCCCAGCGTGACTGATGCGCCCTAGAGTGCACTAAGCAGGGGAGGAGGCTGATCCCCTTACAGGGAAGTAGTCTGAAGCAACTATCCTGATAAAGCCCCTGTGACGAGACCAATCTCGCCACATTGCATTGGAGAAGCCTGGTTGCTCGCCTGCTGCCTTTGGACTATGGCCCCCTTTTAAAAGACTTTATTTTTGCCTGCAGAAAAGCTGTATTCGTGCTTTTCTGCCTGGGGTTCAGTAGATTTGATTGAATGTGTTATACCCCAGATAGGAATCCCATGGAGCCCATTCGTATGAAACTGACTGTAAATACTTTGGCTCCATGGCGATTAAACTGTATTCGTGTGGTCTGAGCGCCATTCACTTAATAATGTGCGCTCAGACCTGAGCTATCTGGGGATATGTTACATGTCTGTGTTTTATGTAATAAATGTGACTTTATGTATTTTAAAGTGTTTTGTGTCTTTTTGCAACCATGTGCTTAATGGAGTCTTGTGTCTGTCCTGGGAGATAATTGAATTACTTATCTCCAGGATAGAAGACTCTGAAACTGGTTTGGGCCAGAAAGCCATGCTTCATTTAGTCACAAAGGACTTTTTACTAACTTTTGAACCCCTTGTCTGATTTGTGCCATTTTTAATATGTTGTTCCCCTGAATGGATTGATTGTGAATATGTAATTTTATGTGAATGTGATGTATGGTTTTAGAGTTATGAAAGTTGGGTAGAAAGTATGTTTTAACTGTATGTGTAATTGAGTTTCCTCTCAGGATAAGGGGAGGGAATATGTGGGATGTAACTGTGATGTGATTGGTTGTTTTATACCTCCCTGTGGGCGGTCCTGTACTTGCAAGACTGTAATAAAAACCAGGCTGGGTGTGCCAGCACCTCAGACCACTGCTTGCCCCTCAACACGGAGCCTTGTCTCGTTCTTGGGGGGATTCACTGTATGCTGTTAGAGACTGATTGCCAGGAGTGTAAGCTGATTGTCTGCTTTTCCTGTTCGTCTGCTAGCAGCTATTTGGGAGGTTCCAGTTCGGGAGTTGAAGTGCTATTTTGTATCCAGTTCAGGAGTTTGTTGTTCTGCAGTAGCTGTGCCTGTATCTCTGGAAAGGGGGCCGATCGCCTAAACGGTTTTTACCCCTTTTGTGCAAAACGGTCCGTTACAGCCCCGTTATCCCCCCCACCCCCCATATGCTTGGGCTCTTATTCCTGATAACTGCCTGGCTGACCCAAGTCTATCACATGCCCCAGAAAGGCTTAGGATAAACTGGACTGGAACTACTGCCATCTGGCATTAATTCCCCTATGGAGCCTTCCCCATACATGGTACCACATATATAGTTTGAAAGCCTTTATTCATCCCAATAGGTAGTTAACATTGTAGGTCATGAAGCCTAACACTAATTCTTGCCCAGGGGGCCTCTTGTGTGTCATGCTACTCATTATCTTTGTGTCCGGGACATACTCACTTGTTTGTTCACTTAGCCTGATTGTTCTCCTTGTTTATCCATGTTTAGCATTTTATATTTAATGTGGGTAGTGTCCTATGACATGTCTATCTAGCCTTATCTCATTACACCATAAATTGTGCAGTACAATAAAAATGCCTATAAACACAACATTTTTAAATGTATGTATATGCATGCTGTTTCCTATGTCAATACATGCTCTTGTATATGCATTGCAAGATTTTTTTATTTATTAAATCTGTCTTTTGATCTTTACTGCAGCACTGCTCCATAAAAATACATGTTCCGGGTGTGCCCCAATTCCCCTTTTTTATGTGTAGATTTGGAATCCAGACCAGATTCCTATTGGATTGGGCACACCAGCCATCCACTATAGGTGCCCTTTTGGTGACTACAGGAAAGCACTAACTTAGGACAGTCTCTGAAAGCAGATTAAGCTGTAAATATTGCATAGGATCCTGACAAATACCCTGATCTGACAATGTTTTAGAATAATTATTCTGGACATATTTGAGGCAAGTTTATTTTAAGATTATATCTTCTGGCAAGTTTTATTTGGACTTTTATTGGATGTCTTATTTTTTATATTGGATTTTTTTTATATATTCGTAACTATACTTTTTCTATTCTGTTCTGGCGCAACCTTATCTTCTCTTTTGTTTGATATGAGGATTGCTTAAATGCCAAATTGTCACTTCTTAAAGTTTGCTGCATTTAATAAAACAATTGTTGTTTTTAAATGATTTATGAGAAAATTTTACTTTTTTTTTTTTTTTTTTAGAAGAGGAGAAGCCATTTTGGGTCATATTCGAATTTGTGAACCAGCAGGCCAGTTAGGTTGAGCAGCAGTTGGTCACGTAACAATAGAATTTGACCCAACATTGCAGCCATATATAAAATGTAAATTTTCTCAGAAAAATGAAATGGGTCCAAAAGATAATATAAAAATGAGTTCAGCTGGTAAACTGGGAAATGGAACACAGGAAGTTTTACTATAGGAAATGGTAGCTGTATCCATGTTATTTGCTTTTCCCTTTAGTAAACCTGTAATATTCAGGAAGGCATAATTTGACCAAATGAGAAAAGGAGAGATAGTGCACAACATGATATTGAGTTCACTGAAATGTTCATGTTTTTATTCCAATAAAGTTAGCTGTTTTATAGTAGATTATTGAGGTTGTATTTAATAAGTAGAAAGCTGTGGAAGAAAGTGATGGATAAGTTGGCTTTAATGGTTTTAAAAGACGGATGCAGCTCTGGAAAAATCTTACAGAAGGAGGAGTGTAATAAGAAACAAGGGTACTGAGGTGATATGGGTAAATTGTACTCCACAATATTAAAACATTAAAAAAAAAATTCAACCTTTGCCTTACATAGGACACTAAATTTTAGTGCTGAAAATAGTACAGGATTTACAGACAAGTTCAAAAAGCATTGTGCTGCAGTGTCTCCTTCCTGGACCGCAGCCCATCTAATTTCTAATGCCTGTACACAGTTGTCTCTGCTAACAACGACAATCAATGAGAATTAGGTCAGCTCTGTGAGATACAAATTGGGTCCCAAGCAGGAGGGTCAGTGCTTCGCCAGCTCTGCCCCCATTAGAGAGAAACAACTCTCTTAAATAAATCAGACTTGATTATGAAGCTTTTGCGTCCGCCAGACACAAACTCATTCACATTGATTTGAAAATAAATTATTGAGCGCAGCTTCATCTGCTTTCTTGACTATAACAAGGCAACTGTATTGGCAATAGAGACAAAAGGGAAGGCAAATTACTATCCTTCTGTCTTAAGTGATATGCTATTAAAGGTGTTTATTCTTCTCAAAGTAAGTATTATTTAAAAAAAAATAAACTGTAGTTAATCTCTGAAAATAGATCAACAGCAGAAAACCAAACCAGCAAAAACGAAAAACAAAAAATCCCCACAAAACTGAACAGATGTGCATAAAATCTAGATTCTGTGAATGTGCTCAGGGAGTGAGAGAGGGTAGAAAGGTCTCCAAAATTCATAAACACCCTGATTGGACAGCAAAGCTTGAAAAATATAACTATAATGCAGAGGATCTAATAAAGTATTCAACAACGCCTGCTAAATGAACGTCTGCTTGTTTTCCTGGTCTGATGTAAATGGCACTGCAGGAACCTTCAGGTCCCAATGCTCTCTCCATCGCAAACATCCGCTGCTGTACCAGTCTGTCTGGAATATGATCTCCTCTGTGCTGCACAGGGAGATTTCTTAATGCTTCCTTCTCAAAAGTCACATGGCTATACAGATAACAGAGAAGCCAAAGAGGGCCTAGAGCAGACCCTTTGAAACGATACATAAAAAATACCCGTGTAAGAACAGATTTCCTTCTAGCAGAATTGAAGATAAAAAAAAAACAAAAAAACAAAGCCATTAATGTAAAAGTTTTATTTTGTATTAATATGTCAAAAGGGTGCCAAATAAGGAGAGTGTGCTCTATTTATTAGCATAGTTCTCTGGCACTTTACTGACACTGAAAGTGCTCTACGCTATTCTAACAAGGTTTCATAACAGACATGGTTCTGCAGCAGACTAATCAGCAATTGTGTACTCAACAAAATAAGTGACAGTGTCATCAGTAAAAATCTTCCTACAGAGTGACAAGCCTAATGATAGTTCAAGACTCCTGAACCCCATCACTCTGCATGACAAAAGTCCTTTAGCTGGCCATCCAAAATGGCATTTTGAGCTTGACGATTCATAGTCATTGGCTATACAGCTGCTGTACCAAGAGTGTTAGAAACCTGAAGCTTGTCTATTTGGAGTGACAGAACCCTTCAGTAAGCCTATTATAAGGGTCTTGAGCAGGCCTGGACTGGCCAACAGGCATACCGGGCAAATGTCCGGTGGGCCCCGATGGCCAGGGGCTGAGGCCGACAGAGGAGATCAAAAGATCTCCCCTGCCGGCCCTGCTGGATAGCGCCGGCCCTGCTGTGTTCCTTTATGGGCTGGTGGGGAGATCAAAGATCTCCCTCACCGGCCCTCAGGCAGTGAAAGGCAGCTGCTCGCTGGAGGGAGACAGGGGGGGAACACGGGGAGCTCTGGCTTGCAGCTCCATCAGGTTCCTCTCGCAAGGTCTGAGTGTTGCTGCAGTTACCATGGCAAAGAGAGAGTGAAACTCACTCTCACCACTAGGACCACCAGGGATGGCTGCACAATACCCCCTCCCAGGCAAAAAGTAAGAAGGGACAGGGCATTCTACTTTTTGTTTTTTGTTTTTAATTAAAATAAAAAAATATTTAGTTACATTAATTTAACCCCCCACACACACAATACATCCAAACATATTTACACACACAGAACCACCCCCCCCACACAGCACCCCTCACATACACACACAGCACCCCTCACACACACACACAGCACCCCTCACACACACACAGCACTCCTTAAACGCAGCACCCCACAAACACACACAGACACACACAAACCGCACCTTCGCACACTGCGTCACACACACATAGCACCCCTCATGCACACATTACATTCCAGACACACACTAGATCCCTTACAAAACTCTGGATCATCTACACACACTAAATCCCTATATACACTCTGAATCCTGTATGCACACAGACACACACTAGATCTCCTACTCACGCTCTGGGTCCTTCAAACACACAATATATCCACTTCTCACACACTACATTCCTGGCATACAAACTTTGGATCCCCTACGCACACACCAGATTTCTTGTAAGCAAACACTCTACAACCTCTATACAGTCTATGCTGCCTATACACACATTCTCACTCTCTACAGCCCCTAGCCACACATTACCCCACAAACACAACACAACTGAAACCGAACTATTTACACAACATCACAACACAATCAGCTCACTCTACACACACGCAATCCCACAAGCAGGCTCCAAACACATGCACAATACTCTTTCCTGGCTCTTTTATCTCCTGGTATCCCACTTATGGGACACCAGAGACAAGCTACAAACAAAACACAGCGCAAGCAAGTTAATAAAAATACTTGCGCTGCACAGAATAAATACAGGGCTTTTTTCTCACGCTAGAGCTCTTCAGTAAAGCTCTGCGCATGGTCTGCCCTGTAAGAGCACTGAACCAACATGCTCACTTTGAGAGGGGGCGTGCTTGCCATTGGTGATGACAAACCTCCCCCCCCTTCTGGCCCCGCCCCTTCTAAGTGGGCAGCTATGATTAAAAAATGCCCGGGACAAATTTGTTTCCCAGTGCGGCCGTGGGCTCAAAAATGTCTTGAACGGTGAGAGGGCCCTTAAACAAGTCTAATCTCAATGACAGGTGTATAGTCAATACAAAAGGAATAATCTCAGGCACTCACTGTGATGAATCAAGCTGATTTAATGGACACCCCAATGTTTCAACCTGTACCCAGGTCTTTATTAAGCTTGACAAAGATCCAGGTAAAGGTCGAAACGTTGCTCTGCGCGTGATTAAGACCTGATCAGAGGTCAAAATGTATGCTGGTTGCTATAGGATATGTTGACCCATACTCCGCTAGTACCCTGTGGTTTTTATGATTGAGTGCAATCCCCCTTTTTTTCTTTGGCGGTGTATAGATAATGTCAGGAACTAAAGGGTGGCCAGCTGCAGTGACAGATAATTCAAGTAGTCAAACTGGACTGACAGACCCTTTGAGCAGGCTAACATCAACTCAAACTGTCTCATCCATAATGATAACCTTAATCTTAATCAAAGTGACATCAGGGTTAGGCCTTGGGAGAACACCTTACCTTATTGGCAGGTCACTTGAGTAACCCTTACCTAAATTACCAGATCCGCAGTATAATTATTTCAGTGACAAATTCTATCACAGAATTCCTCTACACTTAACTTACTCGGAAGGCAGACAAGCTATTGGTCTAATCCAAGCAGAATATCTTTCTCTTGCATTAAAAAAAAGTCGCACAGCAGGTCAACTTAACATCACCAGAGTCTAGAAGCAAACCAACTCAATGCTGACAAGTTCTTCTAACACAGAAGCGACAAAGCTTGTAGTCTCCTTCCACCCCAGTACAAGGCTATCTATTTCAAGGTGACATGACTTGAAGACAGGCAAACCCTTTGGGTCAATGAATATCAATGATCCAGCTAGTGCCAGCTGACATAACCCCAATTACAATGTGCTTTCAGAAGTCTTCTCTTTGACTCAGTGACAAGACTATATCTGAAAATATTTCCTCTTGTGGGACAGTGCCTGCACATTCCATTAAGTAGAATGTAAGAACAGTTGTGACCTTCTCTAAGTTACAGAAGCAGGGATCAATGTAGTTTTTTTTTTTTTTTTTGGTCTATCGTAAAATTATTTGAATGCAAGCAATTACAAAGAGAAGACTATTTTTCTGCATATTTTAATCTTGCAGAACACAACACTTTTCGTTTAAGACACCTGCACCTTCCCCCATGTTCAGTGCCCAAGGTGAAGCTTGAATGAAGAGTCTTCCTGGCACTGTGCTAAGTGATACTGCCCCCTCCACACGGAGGAGGCCAGTAAGACTATCCCAGCCGTGCTGTGCTGCTCCCACAGGGCTCCAGAGTGATCCGTTTCACTTTCTTGCTGCCTTACGGGAAGTTTCTCCTGAGAGAAGAGTTTTTTCCTTCTGTAATCGCAGACAGTCTCTGCGCTCATCTACATTTATTGCCATTAATGGACTCAGTCTTCTCTCTGTATCCCAGCTCATCTCCAAGACGACAGGAGGGCTAGAAAGGTCTTGTGCATAGAGAGAAGGTCAGCTCTGATAGATTAATATGCTAAGGACGGAATCAGTCTTGAATTAGATATGTGTCTCTAGTGCTTGAAATTACTGTGGGCGCAAGTTGATCAACATCAACATTAAGCACATTTGAGAGAGCTTTATTAATTAACGTGTTCATGTGTGTCTAGTCTTTGTACAACTGAATAAAACACAATAACTATACAAAATGCATTTTAGATTAGTCCAAACTGTGGTGCAGTTGTTGTACGGTTTTCACATACCCACCTCCCTCTAATATATTTTTACTGACCATGTCAAGTAACTCAGGGCTCAAGTTAGTAAAATTACACTAGAATTTATTTACAATTGGAAACCGTTCAAGCATTTTGGATGTTCTGTTTGTTCCAGTGGAGATCTCAGGAAACAGATGTACCATGTGCTACTCCATCAGTTTATTTAGCTCCATGTGCCCCCCACTTATCTTCTTCTTTCATTGCCAGCCCTGCTTTCTTAGCTGGGGCAGAGAGCAGTTGCCAGTCGTGGGCAGAATGGCCAGCAGTGCAGAAAACAGGAGCCTAAGGCACAGCTGTGCACGGACTTTGAACAGTGACAAAGTGGACGGCAGTACAGAAAATTCTCGCAGGAGCTGGGTTTTAATGTAGCAATTTGATTCAATTTTCCACTCTATAAAATTACCCATCACCGCTCCTTGCTGTCTAACAGACACCTTCACTCTTAATTTAACAATCTGATCCAATTCTGCCAGGGAAATTGGAAAAATTTATCACCTGTGAAATTTTATTTTTCCTCGGTTGTGTCTGTTTTTGTAAAACTTCATTAACGACGATGACTTGCTGTGGAAATAATGCTTTTTTTCCCCCTGCGTTTGTGCGCTGGTCGGGACACAAGGAACAGACTGAGCTGAGTGAATGCGCACATTAGCATAATAAAACAAAAAAAGGTCATCAAATGTGTGGAATAAGTAAAGCCTTTAGCTGGGAGGCATATGGGTGAAGAATGTGTCCATACCAAGGCTGCATGTGGATAATGTGCATCTGCATTCAGGTGACAGACACAACAATGCAAGTTCTAAGGGTTACAACTAACCTGGAACCACTTCATAGATGTCATCGTCCTGGGGGCTGCTTGATCTGTCCATTGTAGGGTATGCCACCGAAGAGTTCATGCTATCAACATCATCATAAGATTCATTATCATCATCATCGTCCTCACACGGAATGGTGGTTGAAAGTATATCTACAAAGCAGCACAACAATAGATAATAGTGACAAAGGCATGTGACTTAAAATCTCAAAGGCCACAAGAGAGCAGATTGCTTAGTACTGCAAAAAAAATGGTTAATTTCATGTTAACGAGAGAAAACTTAAAACTCTTGCGTTTGGACATCGCTACATTAAGCCAATCTACGCCCTACTCTTAATTCACAAGACACCTGGGGCTCAAATTAATGACAGCCACAAATGCTTCATTAAGAGCTTTTTTCATCAGAGGCCGATATTAAGCCCGAAGTGCTTTGGCAATTTAATAACCTTACACAATGTAAGCATTTAATGGGGGACAAGTATTAAAAGGTTTGTTGTCTTTTAAAATTTCCTTTAACTATCCACTTTAAAATGAAGAAAGGCGCATAGCAGCGTAATGGGAAAACAATTTTAGCCACTGATGCAAAAAAAAAGCCCCATCTTCCTAAACTGAAGAGGACTGGGACTTAGCAGCATACTCTTAAAACCAGAAAAGAACTGGTGAATAATTCTCTCATAACTTTCAAGTAAAGCCAACTTGGGAGTGTCCCAATAACCTAGCAGGGGCCTGCTGCTAGCATCTCTGCCTTTCCACCCATCCCCTTCTGCACCAAGTTATAATGGAACAAAGGATGCCCAATTGGCCGGTCCATTGATATATACAAAACTTAGAAGACATATTGACTATAGCATGGTCATAAAACTGAAAAATAACATATTGCATGTAAAAAACATTTATAATGGTTTATTTTCATTATATCAAGTTGGAAATGACAGCATTGTAAGTATACATATACAAACAGAACGTGCATCTGGCATCTAAACACTAATGACAAAACTGCAGCTCACTAGTAATGCCAGAGAATGGGTGATGTCACATCCTGGCTTCCAGCATCAGTACAGGGCACTGTGCAGCCATTGCACGGAGTGATCCCAGCAGCTTCCTCAACGCTCAGGGCACATTGGTTGAGCAGGCATCTGCCACATGGTGCCCCTTGTACATCAAGTTTGTACATCACTGGTACTACAGCTCTTCTGGAGTAGGATCCAAATTACACACAACAGAGAAGACAACAGATGTGGTGTCCAAAGTAAACTTACCTTTTACCAAAAACTGTATGTGGTCGACCCATTCACGAGCCTCAGTCTGGCTAGAAGCAGTGAACTGTCAGAAACAGGAAACAAGTTTAGAAGTAATACAGCTGTAGAACATGGGGTTTGTCCAGACACACCCTAGTGCAAGACTTGTTGACCTTGTTCCCAATTTAAGTTCCTCATAGCACATTAGTTTTAATTTTGGTTGCAAATAATCTGAAGATAATAAAACAAACATGAAAGAAACTTATAAAGAAACACTCCAAGCACCATGACCACTACAGCACGCTAATGGCTTGACTTCTTACCCTCAAGTGCTGCTCCCTGCCTCTATGGAAGCAAGAAGCTCTCTGCTGGAGTTCAGCCTGGTGGTACTTCAATGGGTAAAAGTGATCAGTTGACACTCTCAGCCAATGAGCTTACTTTAATGGTTAAAAGTGATCAGCTGACACTCTCAGCCAATGAGCTTACTTTAATGGTTAAAAGTGATCAGCTGACACTCTCAGCCAATGAGCTTACTTTAATGGTTAAAAGTGATCAGCTGACACTCTCAGCCAATGAGCTTACTTTAATGGTTAAAAGTGATCAGCTGACACTCTCAGCCAATGAGCTTACTTTAATGGTTAAAAGTGATCAGCTGACACTCTCAGCCAATGAGCTTACTTTAATGGTTAAAAGTGATCAGCTGACACTCTCAGCCAATGAGCTTACTTTAATGGTTAAAAGTGATCAGCTGACACTCTCAGCCAATGAGCGGTCCTGCACAGCAAGCAGGGCTTAGTTTAGAAGAGCTGATGGAAAGCTCCTAGCAGGAGCACCCGACTCTCCATAGTTAAAGAGGAGAGACAGGGAGCAGCGGACGGGACACAACAGGTAAGAAGTCAAACTGTTAGCAGTTTGACTACTTACATGGGGGGCCTGAGGGCTTTAGGATCCATAACCACTGCAGCGTGTAGTTTATACGTGATTGAAATAAGTATTCCATTTCCTTGTACATTTTATTTTTAGTAAAACAGAATAAAATTTATCCTTAAGCTTTAAACAAATCTTAAACAAAACCCCTTGCAGGGTTGTATTTAGAACTGAGCAGTGTTTGTGTGTTTGAATGTAAGCATGTTTTGTATGGAGTATATTTGTGTGAATGTGTGGGGGGCTTTCCTGTAGTTTTGGTGTTTGAATGCAAGCATGCATTTATGTGTAGTATTGCTTTTTTAATGCACAAGCTTTTACTACCTCCCACTGATAATTAGAAGGGGCCTGGTCACCCTGTTAAATGGCCACAGCACACGATCAGGCCCCTGCTGAAACATGGCCACTCGGAGTTCCTAAATGCATGGGCCAACCAATGGGCCCCCTTAGTATGGAGGCTCCAGTGAAGACCAACTGGCTGTTGTACGCCACTGACTGCACACATTTATGATCTTCTTTGCTGTGAGAGGACAATATCCATAGAAAGGCATAAGATGGAAACATCTGAAATTAAGCGGTTTTACATACATTTTCAAGAGAGGGACAATACTTCATTTTAAAATCTGAGAAGAAAAATAGGTCAGATCAAAATGGTGTCTAGAAGATTGGAAAGTAATTAGTGATAGCACTAACATAAGAAATGTGAAAATGTGACAGTGAAAGGAGCAAAAAAACCTATAACTTGGTGAAATGCGTTAGTGTATTTTAATATTAGTATTTATAATCAGGGACGCCATCAGGGGGTGAAAACCATGACGGTTGTCACTGCCCCGGCCCCACATGTAGCGGCGGAACTGCCCATGTTGCATTGCACAGGGGCCCGCGCGCTGATAGGGCCCATCAGGTGGTCCAAGCATTTAGGGTCAACCGATGGGCCCTATATCTTCTTTTAAAAAATTGCAGCCGCACCGCAAGTAGTGCTGGGAGGAAGTGACGGCCGGTCACTTCCTCCCAGCTTACTCCGCGTGGGAGGAGAGACAGCGTGGAGGCCACGAGGAGGGAGAGCCCTAGCCCACACCATCTCCCATCAGCCCCAGCCACCCTCCTGCAACATAAAGGGAAGAAACAGGAGGGTGGCTGAAAAATGAGCTGTGTGTGTGTCAGTATGTCTGTATGTCAGTCTGTATGTCTGTCTGCCAATATGTCTGTCTGTATGTATGTATGTCAGTATGTCTGTATATATATATATATATATATATATATATATATATATATATGTCAGTATGTCTGTCTATATGTCAGTATGTATGTATTTCAGTATGTATGTCCGTAGGTATTTCTGTATGTAATTATTGAGTTAATATAAGCAGAGAGAATGTGTCAGGTTGCTAATGGAACTGGGGGGTACTAGATATGAAAATGAAAACAAAGGGAGGATCGGAGGTAGAGACTATAGAGATGGAGGAGCAACCCATAAGTAAATGATTAAAATATAACCTTTAATAGGTATAATAATAATAATAATAATTAAAAAAAAACAACAATAGTGCTAACAAAAAGTAAAGTAACCAAAAAGTGGATATTGCTGAAAAAAAATAAAAGGGGGGTTGGGGGGGGAATAAGTACTAAGTACTGACTGCAAAATCACTGATAAAGGGTAAATGCTAGGAAGGTAGGAAAATGAACAGGGAAAAGATTGAAAGATAGCCAATATCTATTCCCTAGCGTGTCTTCAAGGGCACTCCTTAAAAAAAGTCTAAACCTCCAAGCATCCCGGAGCGAAAGACACGTATAACATGAAGTGAAACAAACCCCTTTCCCGCTCACCCACAGTGACAAAAAATATAAAGGAAAATAAATATAAGTAAAGATATACTTAAATCACAGCGTGGTGGCTTGTCTTAACCCCTTAACGACACATGACGGGTGACGTCATGATTCCCTTTAATTCCAGAAGTTTGGTCCTTAAGGGGTTAATCTTAGAAATTAGCTGCAGCATCACCCCAAGTCTCACTGCCAAACACTGCTTAATCTGTCCCGACGCGCGTTTCGCCAAATTGTGGCTCTTCCGACTTTTTGTTAGCACTATTTATTATTTTTAGCATTTAGGACTTATTTGTAACAACTTTCCAAACCCACACGTGTTGGTTTTTTTATATTATACTTATTAAAGGTTATTATTTAATCATTTACTTATGGGTTGCTCCTCCATCTCTATAGGTCAGGCTGGTGAAGTTTGAAATCGTCTCTACCTTCGATCCTCCCCATGTTTTTGTTTTCATATGTCTGTAGGTATGTCAGTATGTATGTCTATATGTATGTGTGTTTGTCTGTATGTCCTTATGTATGCATGCATGTGTGTATCTGTATTTATGTTAGTATGTGTCTGTGTGTAACTATGTATGTCTGTATATGTGTGTATGTCTGTTTCAGTACGTGTCTTCTAGTATGGATGTGTGTGTGTGTCAGTGTTTTTTGTATCAGTGCATGTGTTTGTGTGTGTATTCTTGTGATTGGGATTTGGAGGCAGGTCCAGACCCTGAGCTGTGTTAGGGGCCCCAAAATTTCTGATGGTTTCCCTGTTTATAATAAAAGATTGAATCTCTTAACACCATTCTGGACTCTCCTGGACGTTTTTAAAGAAGATTTTATCTTCGTGGGGATTATACCACCTATCCCCTTTTGTGAGTACCTTTTATTTTATTTTTAAGTCTAAATTTATACCACTGAGCACTATTTGTAGTTTTATTTTTTGCATACAAATCTACAACGGTGACCCACTGCTTTCAAGTTTGGATATACACACAATTTCTACTGTGATCAGATCCAGATACAACAGGGGTCCTCAAACTATGGCCCGTGGGCCGGGGTCCTGACCTAAGCACTCAGGGCCACCCGATGGGCCCTGTATCTTCAGGGGCCCGGTCAGCGATGCGGCCTCGCAATAGCGCGACCAGGCCCCTTTAAAAATGTGTGGCCGCAAAGTAGTGCTGGGAGGAAGGGGCCGTCACTTCCTCCCAGCTCCCTCCCCGTGGGAGGGAACAAAGCCAGGCCGCGAAGAGGGAAGAGCCACGCCGACTCCCATCAGCCACAGCCACCCTCCTGCAAAAAAAGTAAGAAAAATTAGCTGTGTATGTATTTCAGTATGTATGCCTGTGTGTGTGTGTATGTATGTCAATATGTGTTTTTATGTATGTGTATGTATGTATTTATTTCAGTATGTCAGTATGTGTGTTTGTATGTATGTCAGTAAGTATGTCTGTGTATGAATGTATGTATGTCAGTATGTGTTTGTGTATGTCTGTATGTATGCATGTCAGTGTGTGTATGTATGTATTTTAGTATGTATGTGTGTGTCAGTGTGTTTGTATGTATGTATTTCAGTATGTAAGTGTGTATGTATGTATGTATGTATGTATGTGTGTATGTATGTCAGTATGTGTTTGTGTGTATGTCTGTGTGTATGCATGTCAGTATGTGTATGTATGTATTTTAGTATGTGTGTGTGTCAGTGTGTTTCTATGTATGTATTTCAGTATGCATGTGTGTGTGTATGTATGTGTTTTGTATGTATGTATGTATGTCAGTATGTATGTATTTATTTCAGTATGTATCTGTATGTGTCTGTGTGTATGAGTGTATGTATGTCAGTATGTGTCTATCTGTATGCATGTCTGTGTCAGTGTTTTTGTATGTATGCATGTCGGTATGTATGTCTGTGTGTATGTATGTCAGTATGTATCTGTGTCTGTGTGTATGAGTGTATGTATGTCAGTATGTGTCTATCTGTACGTATGCCTGTATGTATGTATGTCAGTATGTATGCCTGTATGTGTCTATCTGTATGTATGCATGTCTGCATGTATGTATTTGTATGCACGTATGTCAGTATGTATGTATGTCAGTATGTGTCTATCTGTATGTCTGTGTGTATGTATGTATTTTAGTGTGTGTGTGTCAGTGTGTATGTATTTATGTCAGTATGTATCTGTCTGTGTATGTATATCAGTATGTATCTGTCTATCTGTATGTATGTCAGTATGTATGTGTTTGTATGTATATGTATGTCAGTGTGTATTTCAGTATGCGTGTGTATGTCAGTATGTATATGTCTGTCTGTCTATGTCAGTATGTATGTCTGTCAGTATGTATGTATGTCCTTATGCGTGTTTGTGTCTGTAAGTACGTTAGTATGTGTGTCTGTATATGTCTGTGTCTGTTTCACTATATATAGGAATTTGTTAAAAACAATGTAAAACTATAGTCCAGCCCCCATTAGTGTCTGAGGGACCATGAACTGGCCCCCTGTTTAAAACATTTGAGGGCCCCTGAGATACAATATCTGCCAAGGCCCTACAGGACCACCACATCCATTGGCGGGGATTGTACCGTCCAGGCTCTACCATCTAAAGTTGATCTATTGCTCCTAAAAATTGTAAGTGTGTTTTTATACTCCTTTCATCAACTGCCAGAAGATACAACACTATATTGTTTTCTCTTGGGTCTTTTCTCTCTACATACCCACTGCTGACCATCTGCAGGATTCAAAACTATCTACAATGCACTGCTCTGCATACCGAACTGTACTTTTTACCAGAAGGAAGAGACTCCGGTTTGGGTTGTTTTAGCTGCCTACTAATACTCTCATTAGTGCTAAAAATCCTTTATTTGTTTTTTACTTTTGCCATTGCTTCCTCTTGCCATTTGTCCTTTTATATATTATTTTTTTTAAATATTATTATTGTTCTTTTTTTACACTGGATATTAACATCTGGGAGTCAACATTTTGCTCTCCTCTGTCCATAGTGTCTGTAGTTTGCCCTTCTGTAAATTACCTTAGAAAGAGAATATTGCGCAAGCTCCACCCAATTACCAACGGGCACACTTTACATATGAAAATGTAGTCCCTATGTAGTCCCTAAATTTAAAAAAAAAAAAAACCTGAATTGCATGTAAATTAAAAGCATGAAGGGAAATATAGTAATTAAAGGGGAACTATTGGCACTAAAACAACTTTAGCTTAACGAAGCAGTTTTGGTATATAGATCAAGCCCCCACATTCTCACTGCTCAATTCTCTACCATTTAGGAGTTAAATTAATTTGTTTATACAGCCTAGTCAAACCTCGTTAAAAAGGAGCCTAGATATTCTAGGTTCCATTATTACACAATCTGTTTAATCCAGAATTTCTTATCTCCAGCTCTGTTAATAGCCTTCTAGATCTTGCAAGAGCCTCCTGTGTGTGATCAAAGTGAAATCTACAGAGCAGGATATAAAAACAGCTAAAGAAAATTAAAGGACCACTATAGTGCAAGGAAAACACTATAGGTTCATTAGGTCCCCCCCACCCTCAGGCCCTCCTACCTCTGGGCTAAAGGGATTAAAACCCCTTCAGCCTGGTAGATTGTTGGAGGGCTTGCAATCCGGAAGGGAGAGACTATACCCATTACTCTGCAGCGCACGCACAATATAGCCGCATCGATTATATCTTTCTGGCACAAGAATTTTTAAACCTCTTGCAAGGAGCGGAAATAGGCATCATAAGCCACTCGGATCATGCACCGGTCCTGGTTCATACCAGTTCCCCGCTATTTAAGCCCAGTGAACGACAATGGAAGCTCAATGAAACTATGCTGGATGACTTGGCACTCACGCAGTCAGCGACCCGCGCCCTGACCGATTACTTTACCACCAACGACAACTCTGATACGACACCTTTAGGGCTTTGGGAGGCACACAAATGCGTCATTCGGGGCTTCTTCATCTCTGAGAGCACCAGGCGCAAAAAGGACAGACGGGCTCGCATTACCAGCCTGACAACACGCATTGCAGAATTAGAAGGATCACATAAGCAGTCCCTTGATGAGGGCACTTACCTCCAACTTGTTGAGGCACGTAGGGACTTGCAAACGATTTTGTTGCAGGGGCTGCTGCTCACCGCGAGGAAGGCCTCTAGGTACTTCTACGAACACTCCAATAAGTGCGGGAGACTGTTAGCTCGGATGCTCCATGAAAAGCGCAGGATGCTACATGTCCATAAAATACACACGGGGAGGGGGGATACTACACGCCTCCCAAATGGCATACTGGCTGCGTTCCAGGAGTACTATGCGGCACTTTACGACCAAACGCAACACCGTACAGCATCAGAGGAACGACTACACAAGGAGAGGATAGTGGCGTACCTACAAACCCATGTTACACGCAGACTCACTCCGGAGCAGGAGGCGGAACTGGAGGTTCTTTTGTCGGTGGAGGAACTCGCTGCAGCGCTGAAGGCCACCAAGGCTCATAGGGCTCCGGGGCCGGACGGTTTACCAGCCTCTTATTTACGGACGTTCAGAGATATCCTCCTACCCCGCCTGGTCGCAGGGATGAACTCCTTGCGGGAGGACGGTCGATTCCATGAAGATACACTGAGGGCAACGGTTACGATTCTCCCAAAGGAGGGCAAAGACCCCATGGACTGTGCCAGTTACAGACCAATTTCATTGCTTAATGCGGACCTTAAAGTGTTTGCTAAAGCACTGGCACTTCGGATGGCTAGGACTTTGCCGGAGCTCGTTCATCCGGATCAGGTCGGTTTCATACCCGGCCGAGAGGCCCGGGATAATACTATACGGGCCCTCAACTCTATCCACGTAGCTCGAACCAACGGGAAGGAGATGGTTCTCCTTTCCACTGACGCCGAGAAGGCGTTCGATAGAGTTGGCTGGACTTACCTGCAGGAGACCCTGGGGTACATGGGGTTTGGACCAGGTCTAAGGTCATGGGTTGCGGCGCTGTACACCAAACCGACGGCGAGTATACGGGTGAATGGAGCACTCACGGGTGTGTTCAAAATTTGCAATGGCACGCGCCAGGGCTGCCCGCTGTCCCCCCTCCTGTTTGCCCTCACCCTGGAGCCCTTCCTGGAGGCGGTTAGATGGGACGGGGGCATAGCAGGGTGCCTGGTAGGGGGGGAGGAGCATCGGGTGGCGGCATACGCCGATGACATGCTCTTCCTCCTCGAACAGCCAAGAATCTCATTACCGAACTTACTAGAGGCTTTCCGACTTTATGGCGCAGTTTCCAACCTGAAGCTCAACCTGGCCAAGTCGGAACTGATGCCCCTCACACGAGACCCGGCCCTTTGTAGACACATCCATGCGCATTTCCCCTTCAGGATTTGTTTGACTAAATTGCGGTACCTAGGCATCTGGTTACCGTGTGACCTAGCTCAAGCCTATTCCATGAACTATGTCCCATTACTCACAGCCCTACAACAAGATTTGAAGCGCTGGGCCCCTCAATATATATCCTGGTTCGGACGCATAAATGCCATTAAAATGAATGTCATGCCCCGTATATTGTACCTGTTCCAAACGATCCCGGTCACTGTCCCTCGGAACTTCTTCCAAACGCTGTCGTCCGCCTTTAAGCAGTTCGTATGGAACCAGAAACCCGCCCGCATACGGCAATCGACCCTGGAGCGCCCTAGATATGAGGGAGGCATGGGCTTGCCTTCAGTCCTTACGTACTACCGGGCTACACATCTGTCTCGGATAGTGGATTGGCATGCAGCCCCTAGCGGGAAACAGTGGGTAGACATGGAAAAGCAACAGACGGGGGAGGTAAAATCCCGTCCCAGTTGTGGCTGGGGGACGCCACGTTTCGGGAACTGAGAACGGGCAACCCGTTGGTGGATGCAACTCTGAAGGTCTGGTGCGGCATCCGGTACTCTCAACAATTTACATCATCGCCGAATCCACTTATGCCCGTGACGCATAACCCGAGACTTGCGGGTGGACTCTCCCCGGAGGATCTGAGAAACTTTGGGGCCACGGATTGGACCTACCTGCATCAGTGGTGTAATGGTCCGACCCTTAAACCGCTGGCCGTTCTACTCCAAGACCGTGGACCCAGCGTCCTGGACAACTTTCGGTACTACCAGCTTACAACCTATGTAACCTCGCTGGCTGGGAAGGCTCACCTTCACCGCCCACTGTCCCACTTCGAACAACTTTGTGTCGCCAGACAGCATCTCATCCACGGCATATCGCAACTATACTCCATGCTGCAGAGTGGTGGGGACCAGTGCCCCTTAGGTTTCACGGTACGGTGGGAAACGGAAGCAGGGGTCGAGCTATCTACTTCAGAATGGCAAAAGATCTTCCAATTGACGCACAGGGGGACCATCTGTTCCAAATTCCAGGAGTGCAACTACAAGATACTGTCGCGTTGGCATAGAACTCCGGACATCCTTCGTCATGTCCATGAGTCCATCTCAGGGGAGTGCTGGAGGTGTGGAGACGCGGATGGTTCTGGGATCCATATCTGGTGGTCGTGCTATCGCATTGAACCTTTCTGGCGAGCGATACAACAAGGGATCAAAGACGTTACTGGGACGGACGTCCCTTTCCAGCCGCTGCTACTGAACCACACGAGCATGCCAATTACCGCCTACAAAAAGGGCCTGGTGATACACCTTCTTACGGCAGCAAAATCTCTCATCCCCACGTTGTGGAGAAGCCAGGTAGCCCCTTCATTCCGCCAATGGATAGAGAGGGTGGAAATGATTTACAATATGGAATTGATGACTGCGTCTCTGCAGGGACGCTCGGATAAATGTGCTCTAACATGGTTTCCATGGATGGAGTTTACGGCCAGGGGGGCCGCGGGGGATGCCCGGACCGGAGATGGTGTTGCACCCGCACAGCTTTCCCCATCCACAACGATCTGACAGAGACCCATAGTACCTTTCAGCTGGGTGGGGGGTGCACTTCCCTATCCATAGGACCACGACTTCCCTTCCCAATCCCCTCCACACTTTCCAGACGGAAGACAAATGGAAGCATATACTAGAGAGTAGGCTCACAAGTTCACTTATCCACTAGCCTGGCATGCAGTGCGTTTGGGGAACGGGGAGTGGAGCACAGAGCAAAGAATGGAATTAGTCCAGGGAGGCGCAGGGGGATAGAGGGATGGCGGGGCTCTTGAACATCTCAGGAGTGGGTAGGTGGTGTACATGCCGGAGGGGATTAGACCAGAGGGTGGGAGGTTAACAATGCTGCTTGGTGGTCTGGGGGGAGGTCCTCTGACGCTTTCAGTCCCACGCTCTTGGTTCGCTCCGGGCCTCAGATTCAATAAATACAGTGGCGCCCGATTTGATCCCTAGGGGGCTCCAGCAAATCGCGTTAGGGGATGAGGGGGGGTATGGAGGCGTTGGAGGGCACCCTACAGCTTATTGACTTCTCACACGAACCATTGCACCAGTCTGGAGGGTCAGTGGATACCAATATAACTTCGGGCCATGGGCTGTCCCACCAGGGTGTCGCCAAGAGCAGGGTAGTAGATGCTACATGTAGTTTAGAATTCCCACTTCACGAGGTAGCATGGATAGCCGTGCTCCCCACGTCCCACTTTTCGCATCTGTCCCATGTGTCCCCCGGTTGTCTCGGGATTGTGGCCTTGGTTGTCGCTCAGATGTCTCTGTGCTGTCTAAGTTCTAGTTCTATTCATCTGTAAGGACACTGTCAATTATCCAGTTGTATTGGCGGCTTACGTGGAATATTGTGTCCTTCCTTCCTTGCCTGTGTAAAGGTTGCTAAACATGTTTGAATTTGTGTGTTGTACTAAACGTGCTGTATTAAATAAATGGAAAAATAAAGAATGTCAAAAAAAAAAACCCTTCAGCCACTTACTTTTCTCCAGCGCCAGGCTCCCTCGGCGCTAGTGACCTCTCCTCCTCCTGCTGACATCAGATCCGAATGCGCATGTGTGGCAAACTACACGCATTCAAACAGCCCATAGGAAAGCATTACTCAATGTTTTCCTGTGGACATCCAGCATCTTCTGACTGTGATTTTCACCATGAGAATCACGGAAGCACCAGCGGCTGTCAGGGAGAGTTTCTCTAAAACTGCTATGTTTTCAGCTGCAGGGTTAAAACTAGAGGGACCTGGCACCTAGACCACTTCATTGAGCTGAAGTGGTCTGGGTGCCTATAGTGGTCCTTTAACATTTGTTTGAAAATGGAACCATATTTTTCATGCAGGAGGTGTGGCTAGGGCTGCATAAACAAAAACAAAAGCAATTAACTCCTAAAAGAGGGCGAATTGAGCAGTAAGACCCAAGGGGCATGAGCTATATACCCAAACTGATTCATTAAATTAAAGATCTTTTGATAGCTATAGTATAACTTTAATAAAATAAAATGAAAAAAAAAAATACTGCAAAGTGGCAAATCTTTAATCTGTGTGTTGACATTCCAACAGTAGCAAATACTTACTTGGTAAGTACGATTGCCTGGGGGCAGAAGTTCAAAGCAGGCATCACGGCGAGAGTCTTTGCGGATGTCCAATACCAAACGTGCACTGCAATCCTTTATCAAAAAACCACCTCTGGGCAGCTTCCCTGCAATGCATCAACACTGTATGAGTTCTTCAGAACAAAACATGGAACTCTCATACACATATGATGTGTCATATCATAGAGCACAACATGTAAATGTTACATTACAATCAATTGTAATGTAACTGCAAATAAAACCCCTACAAAGTATTTATTCTATACATTTTCTGGTAATTTTTGCTATTGCAATGTATAGCACTAATGTTGTCATTTACCGAGAGCTGATTGCCGATTTTCAATAACACATTTGTTGATGGGGGTGCACCCTCTCTAAAAGGTATTGCAGAAATGTACACAGGAAGTTACTATAATTCCATGTGCTTACCTTTCTCACTCGAGTAGTAACAGAAACTTCCCTTAGTGAGCACACACCATCTCTTCTGCCATTCTGATCCAAAAAAGCTATGGTCTAAAACAACAAATGGACAGATTTTAATAGGAAATCAAAAACCATATGTGAGCATATAATCATGACTGAACGCATAACAAGGATGACCAAAGCTGGATACCAAGCTCTAGAACGATACATCCCGTGGTGTCTGCCACGAAATTGTTGTTCTACAAAAGTTGAGAATCTACTTTTGTTCATTCACCTTTAGCGGTACGATATCATTGTCTTGTTTAATTAAATTGGTGTTTATTGCAATTTTTGCACCGGGGCCCCGTGGTTTCTAGTTATGACTCTGTAAGTGAGAGATGGGGGAGGGTGGGAGGGTCAGTCTACAGATCAGGTAAGGGAGAGATGGGGGGGCAGCCTATCCCCTTTTGTGAGTACCTTTTATTTTATTTATTTTTAAGTCTAAATTTATAGTGAGGGATGGGGGGCAGCCTACAGATTAGGTAACAGAGATGGGAGGGGAGCCTGCAGATCAGGTAAATGAGAGGTGGGGTGGGGTAGCTTACATATCAAATAAGTGAGGGATGGGGACAGCCTACAGATCAGGTAACAGAGATGGGAGGGGAGCCTACACATCAGGTAAATGAGAGATGGGGTGGGGCAGCCTACAGATCAAATAAGTGAGGCATGGGGGGAGCAGCCTACAGATCAGGTAAATGAGGGATAGGTGGGCTATAGATCAGGTAAGGGGGGCCTATACATCAGGTAAGTGAGGGATGGGATAACAGCCTACAGATCAGGTAAGTGAGGGATGGGGGACATAGCCTACATGAAGGGACAGCAAGGAGCAGGAAGGGGTAACAAGGAGCTGGAATGGGCAGAAAGGAGCACAAAGGTAAAACAGAAACAGGAGCACAAAGGAACAGAAATGAGCAGGAAGGGGCAGCAAGGAGCACAAAGGTTCAGCAATGAGCAAGAAGGGTCAGCAAGGAGCTGGAAACTGCATCAAGGAGCAGGAAGGGACAGAAGGATTACAAAGGTAAAGTAGAAGGAGCAGAAAGGAGAGGGAACAGAAATGAGCAGGAAGGGACATCAAGGAGCAGAAAGGAGAGGGAACAGAAATGAGCAGGAAGGGACATCAAGGAGCAGAAAGGGTCAGCAATGAGCTGGAAGGGGCAGAAGGAGCACAAACGTAAAGTAGGATAAATAGCAGAAATGAGCAGGAAGGGTCAGCAAGGAGCAGGGAGGGTCAACAGCAAAAAGGGACGGGCAGCAAGAAGAATGAGCGGGCAGCAAGAAGGAGGAAGGGACAGCAAGGAGCAGGAACGGCCTGTAAGGAGAAGGAAGGGTCTGCAAGGACCACAAAGGGGCAGCAAGGAGCACAAAAGTAAAGGAGCAGAAAGATTTAGAAGGAGCACAAAGGTAAAGTAGGAGAAGGAGCAGAAAAGGGTAGCAAGGAGCTGGAAGGGGCAGAAGGAGTGCAAAGGTAGAGTTGGAGAAGGAGCATAAAAGAACAGGAAGGGACAGCAAGGAGCAGAAAGGGGCAGCAAGGAGCATAAATGTAAAGTAGGAGAACGAGCAGAAAGGGTCTGCAATTAGCACAAAGGGACCAGAAAGATAAAGGATCAGAAGGGCGCAAAATAAGCAGAAAGTAGAGGAAAGGTAAAGGAGCAGAAGGAGCCAAGGAGGAGAGAAGACAGTGTCAGAAGAAAAAGAAGACTGTCAAATGAAGGCGAAGAAAAGGAGATTGGAGCAGGAAGGACAAGTGAAGAAAACCCTCCACTTTATTCTGGACACCACATCATAAGGCTTTGGTACCTGGGCCTGGCAGGGAAACTTTGGACCTTCTCATCTCCCCAGGTAAAAAAAAAATAAATATCAGTGTTAATGTGTTCATTTTTATTTACTGATTGTCAGGAAGCACAGAGTGCCGCTGGGTAGGGGTACCGCTGAATGGCTAGAGCGGTCAGCTGGCACTCTAAGCCAATCAGTAGCTCCCCATTCATAAAAAAGTAAAACATTTTTATGAACCAGGAACTAGCGATTGGCTTAGATTGTCAGCTGACCACTCTAGTCGATCTGTGGCATCCATGTCGGACTTCAATCTGCACTTCCTGACACTCCGTTTCAGAAGCCGAATACTACTGAGCGACCTGGAGATTTGAAGGTGGAGGAAGCCTTTGGGGTTAAACCATTTGAGAGCGGTTTAACTCCTTAAATGAAAGATCGCCCAGGGTCCTCCTGGCATCATAGCATTTTCATTTAGATGAAGTTGTTATGGTGACCAGAATGTTCCTCATTTGCTTAAAGGAACACTATAGTGTCAGGAATACAAACATACAAACATGTATTCCTGACACCATATCTGTGAAAACGCTATTCACCCTGGCTTTATGTGATAATGACTATGCCCCTCCCCTGACACCTCTGGAAAAATTCCTATGGACGCCCATGATTGTAGGAATTAATATTTCTACTTATTAAAGCACACATAGCATTATAATGCTTTAAAGATATCATATATTGTAAATATAAAACATATACATATTTCCATTATTTTATAAGTTGTGTCCTGCACTCCTATTAATAGTGAGGCCTACACCAGTTATGAAAGCTATACACCTCTAGGAATAGCATGGCACTCATATTTCAAAATATACATTATTATATAGGTATAGGAGAGAATTATGTAATATATTAAAATGCTTATTTTGAGCTAAATGTCAATATGTAAATTGTTTGAAAATTTACATAAAATGATTCAGAACAGAATTCTCAAAAATTAAAGTGAATGTCAACTTTTAGGGAATAATATTTGAAATGAAAACAAAGATGATTTTGAGAAATGTGCTAATTTATCTAATTTGGCCTACTATCTAGAATTCAAACAGTGTCTCAAACAACCCCCATTTTAATGAATAACTCTGCCATTTTCCTTCTAGAATAGAAACCACATAAAAAATTTGACTAAATGTCATGGCTGTTTGAAAACCTATTCCCAGAAGAAGTATTTTCTCTATATTCCAATTCACACTTTTTATGAAGCAGCTTGTTTAGTCCTGTTAAAGCAGGGGTTTTGAACGTTAGTCCTCAGGACCCCCTACCAGTCCAGGGTTTAGGGATTACCTGGGTGTGTCTAATGTGTTTAGAAAAAGAAAAAAAAAACACCTTAGAGTCTAAGGTATTTTTTTCCCTTTTTCTAATGACCTGAGACACACCCAGGTAATCCCCAAATCCTGGACTGGTAGGGGGTCCTGAGGACTGGGTTGAGAACCCCTGTGTTAAAGGAAAACAGTAAATAGAGTTTTTTTTTGTTTTTTTTTAAATCAAACGTGTTCCTGTTTATTTTAGATAGAAAATGAAAAGGTAAAAAAACCTACAAAAGAAAACCTGACTCAATACATTTACTTGTAATCCGCCGTCTGGACAGTGTACTCGCTGCATCACTACAATGACTGATGTCAAAAAGATTGTTACTGAAGGTACTTCAGTCTCGATACACCTAGCAACTGTCTGTCTGACAGCAACTAGTGGGCACAGATATTGCAAAATGTATACAGTGCAGTTTTTTTTTCCCCAGAACTAACATTTACCCTGATAGCACATTTTCTACACACCTGAAGTAGATTCCTACAGATTCAAACAAAAATCGACACAATAACCAAGGATACATTTATTGCCAGCCTTACATATAGCGTAACTTTGCATTTCAGATTCTAGGTGAGAAGAGGACAACTAGTTTAAGTTTAAAATCTCATAATGAACACATCTGTGCTTATGCATCTCTGGCATTATATATGATTCAGGGAAGCAAGGTGCTTAGCTGGATTGAGATGGAACACAATAACCATGTGATACATAATATAAAATTATTTTAATGCAGAATCCCCCAATTGATACAAACAAGAGATGTGCTCTGCCAGCTTTGTAAGATTGCTTTAATGTGTTTGTGAAGTTTTAAAAATACATTAATTAAATGTTGAAATCCACATTACCTCTATCGGTATGCATTATACTCAGGTGCTTCTGGACAATTTAAAACTTTAACATTGCAGTGATTTATTAGTTGAATGTCAAAATGTATAGCACATTAGCCGACCTGGAGAATTTCCCAATTCTATTATGTTGTCCTTCATTTAGATATTTACGTGCTAAACACTCATTTCAGAACAAAGTTCTAAGTACCGTGGGCTGTATTACTATTAGGAAACCATGTCCATAATAAATTAAGTACTACTCAATTCTTTTAATTCCATTTAAATTTTTTTGGTCCTATATTTTGATTAGACTGAAATGGTATATTTTAAGAATATTTGACTGCCATGTTGGAGCACATGATGTCTTTTGGGAGGGTTCATTGGCAGCACATTGTATACCACTTGAACTTATATAGATGCAAGCTGATGATTAGCAGGTGGTCATTTTGTATCATGCAAGCTTGTGGGTATTCTAAGACAGGTTTCTGCTGAAGAAAAAAAGATATTTTGTGCAGTAGCACAATTATATTCTGGCTCCTGCGTGCTCTTCCCCATTACAACATGCTTCATTTGCTAAGTGAGATGGATGGATATAGACAATAATCGAGGTCAAGCCTCCACCCAAATACATTAATCTTTGCTTATGGACAGAGCGATCAGCTGCGGATGCACAGATCCTAATATTATGGGCTAGAGGCAATATCAGATCACATATTTAGCTCCTTGTTAGCAGAGGGTGAAAGGCGGAATGGGGAGCAAAGGTATCACCATTCTGGAATCCTTGTGCCGTAAGGACATCACTGCTTGCTTAAATAATTAAAGAATGAGGATAAATTTACAGAACAGTCAGCATATAAAGACTATATGCATGTTTCTCACCACTGCATTACAAATCAAGGCACGTGTTTACTATTGTCATTAAGGTGAAGTTCAGAAATACACACACATAATATTTGGAACATGCACAGGAAACAAAATGACTGAAACACCTGTGTTCAGGAAAGCACATTCTTATAGCAGATCTTTCATATGTTTCATTTTAACATTGATAGAAGGTTTTTAATTCCCAGATATATCCAGTTATAAAGTTATTCTTATGAGGCAATCTAACAGGTATGTCTTTTTTTACTGTAATCACAATAATAATTGGCTGCCCCAGGTGCCTAATATGATGGATTGCTGAGGTTAGCAAGCAGTCGTTCTAGTCAGTGAAGTGTATGAAAAAGAGCTCACAAGTGACACACTAAACACCATGACAATCTATACTCATTGCACAGGTTATGATGCAAGGAGATCTCCAGTCACTGTGTCCCTGCACAAAGTGGCTTATAATTGCAGCTGTTTGTAAAAATCGATGTGGATACAAGACTTCCTCTTCTCCCTCTGAAGTCAAGAATGTTACTTTTAGTTCTTCCTTTGCTATCCAAAATCTTTCCAAGTTGAGTAAAAGGCAAGTGCATGTTAGATGGACACATACCTTGCATATCCCTACATTCCCTTTGAGCATGCATGCATGTTCTTTTAGCTGTCTGGGAAAACATTGTATACAGACTGGCTGTGAATGACTTGATACCAGCTGTCAGCTTATTGATCAGCTTATTCAACTCTTCCTCTTAGATTTGGGGGCTAGACTACATATCTCTTATTTTTCATAGACAAGAAGGAAAAAAACCCTGATTGATGGATCCTCTTCCTTATATGGGAGGCTCATTACCAGTGACAACTTTAGAAACTTGACCGCTGGATATCTTTGCTTAATTATTATTATTTATTTAGATGTATATTTGCATTGTTTGGCCTTGGTCTCCAGTAGGTTCACTATTAGTAAATTACTTCCAGGTGTTGCCTGAATGCCTAGAAAGTGCTCTTCGTCTAGTAGCATATGCCTTTGCAGAGCAAGATGTATAGAGTTGTTTTAGTTCATATGAGCATTAGTAATTTTTGCCAATGTCCTTTAATCAACATTGTGTCATTTTTTGTTAAATGTGCTATGCTTAACCTTAAATTTACATATTAATTGAAGAAGAAAAGAAAATCTGGAATCTTGTGGTCATTTTTGCTATCTTTTTTTTTCTGTAGTCAAGGAGTTAATAAATAGACAGTCAGCCAAGCAGCTAGGATAAAAATTGTGACCACAGTTTTAACAATCCACAGATAAAGTAATGATTGTATTCTATGCTAAAAGGCAGAACCCCAGGAGCAATACACAAAGAAATAGGCATGCATGTTATTCTCTAAATGAGCTCAATTATCTAAGATGAACAGAAGCATTTCTGGCTCTTTAAGCTCTCCTAGGCACATTACAAAGGGTTACCGAAGGGTGCACATGATACATCTCAGTTGATCCTAGGTATATATTTACTATACATTGTGGAAAACCAGGGCACACTGAGTGAGCAGCTGCAAGTAATTCTGGTGAAATCCCTACATCATTAACCTTTTAATTGGTAAAGAGAGGAGATAAACTCAGCAATCCGCCATATAAAATATTCAACACGATCTCAGAAACATGCTAAAGGGTGTATATTTTCTTTCTGAATTTCATTCTTATTGTATGTTACCTCTGTTTCTTTTCTCCAGATAACCTTGCTTTAAAACTCTATCCAACCTCTCTGTATCTCCAGAATCTAAAAATAAACAAATAAAAGTGTGACTCAAAGGAAGCAAGAATTGAAATAAAATATAATCATGAGCAAATATGTCTGCATATATCATTACAGTACGAGTGAACAGGACGAATGATTAATGCATTTACATAAAAAAAGTCTAGTTTTCCTTAAAATACTAATGATATATTTTTTGCTTGTGATGCAGGTTTATTTTCTTTGCAGTACTGGCATATAGAATTGATTGCTCTTTATATGTCATGGTCATTCAATATTATCTCAAAAGTTTAAGTGTCATTGATTGTCAATCAGTGATATTGGGCAGGGAATGTTTCAACAAGCTGAGCTTCATGAGAGTTTTAGTGCTTATGGGCTGCAATTAGATATCTGGTCTATGGCTTGTAAGGAGGCAGGGTGGATTTACTGAGCACACTCCAACCTGCTGATACATTCCAATTGAAGTGTACATCATGTATCACTAGTTTTATCAGTTCTTAATCACCACCGCCTCTCCCCCCCCTCTCCACATTTGCTCGACTCACTACATTAACATGAAAATATTAGCAAATCAAGGACCTGAGTGGTGAATATAAAAGTATCTGCATTGATATTACAATTCATTATTTAATCTGGGGGTGCATATTTATGGAATATTTAGCGTTTCTGTTGTATGGTACGCACAACATGTGAGGAAATATGAATATTACATTAGTGTCCCCAAACCAACAAACAGACCCTGCTGGCAGCCGTGTAACAAATGGCGCAGTAAAAGTTTTATTTAGACGTTAAGTCTCCAGCCCGCAGCAGGATTACAGAGACTGTGCCGCACGCTCCCATCACTGCGCACTCAGGAATTGAATTACCCAGGGGGGAGACAATGGTGATGAGCATTGCTGCGCTTATTTAATTTCATTTACTTTCAGTCCATTAGCAGCATGGGGCTTGCTGTATCCCCACAAGAATGTCACAGGCATGGAAATGCTGTATAAATTACAGGAAGACAAACCTTGGACTCTGAGTGAGATGTGTGCGGGTTAGTGCCCCCCTCCTAATCTGTAATATTTAATTTTCAGGCTGAGAGGAAGATTTCTTGCTATAAAAAAATGGAACTTTAGTCTGGAAGACTGCATAATTTCTAATTTCTACAAATCCTAAAAAAAAGAAAGAATATGTATCTAGTCACAATCCATATTTGTGAGGCTTATATGGGGATGCAACTCCACCAGGCTTATGTAGGGACCATACCAGAAAAAAAATGTTAATAGCAAATATAGTGTCTATCTGTGGTACACTCAGAGTTCCTCTATTCCAATTCAAGAATTATCTGAATTGAATTTCAACATGGCAAGTCAAATAGTGTATCACTGATTGACAAAAGTATTCTAGGCAATTGGAACTTGTGTAGCATAGAAGCCAGTTGTGAACTAGCTTCATTAAAGTTCAGGATACAAGAATACATAAAAAGAATTATCCATAGTACATGGTTACATAGCTGAAAAGAGACTTGCGTTCATCAAGTTTAGCCCTTTTCACATTTGTTTTTGCTGTTGATCCAAAAGAAGGCAAAAAAATCCAGTCTAAAGCGCTTCCGATTTTGCAACAAACTAGGAAAAAAATCCTTCTTCACACCAAAATGGCTGTTAGATATCTAATTTGATTAAGAAGCTATCCAATTTTTTTGAATACAGTTCTTGTTCTGAAAGTACAGCAAACGCACTTCCATATGACAGGCTCTATCATCATGCACACTGGCCAATATATTCACACAATATCCAGAACACAGACAATGTTCACAGGCTACTAGCATGAAACATATGCTCTACTTAATTTCCATCAGATAACATTGTGTCAAAACAGCTTTGCATTTGATGCAAATACTAATCAAAAACACTCACAAAAAAACAACAACTTTACAGTTAAAAGTAAAATGCATAGTTTTAGCCTGCACCATATGTTAAAGGGACACAATAGTCACCAAAACAACTTTAGCTGAATTAAGCAGTTTTGGTGTATAGATCATGTCCCTGTAGTCTCCCTGCTCAATTCTCTGCCAGATAGGAGTTAAATCACTTTGTTTATTAACCCTAGTCACACCTCTCTACATGTGACTTGCACAGCCTTCCTAAACACTTCCTGTAAAGAGTCATCTAAAGTCTATCCTTCCTTTATTGCAAGTTTTGTTTAATTTAGATCTTCTTATCTCCTGCTATGTTAATAGCTTGATAGACCATGCAAGAGCCTCCTGTATGTGATTAAAGTTCAATTTACAGAGAAAGAGATAAATTTGTTTAAGGTAAATTACATCTGATTGAAAGTGAAACCAGTTTTTTTTTTTTTTTTCATGAAGGCTGTGTCAATAAGATTCAGGGGAGGTGTGATAAGGGCTGCATAAACAGAAACAAAGTGATTTAACTCCTAAATGGCAGTGAATTTAGCAGTGAAACCAGAGAAGCATGATCTATACAATAAAACTGCTTCATTAAGCTAAAGTTGTTTAGGTGACTATAGTGTTCCTTTAGGCCATGGGTCGTCAACCTGGTCCCTACCGCCCACTAGTGGGTGTTTCAGGATTACAGGTGGTCGGTAGGGATTTCGGCGGCTAAATCCTCCGTTTGAGAGAGTGGGTGGCAGGGCCGGACTGGCCCAGCTGGGGCTGGGCTGACAGCCCTAATGATCATTTTGATAAATCCTCCCCTCGGACTGTGCCAGTCTGTCAGTCCGAGGGGAGGAAGGAGGGAGGAGCTGGTGTGGCTGCCAGCAGCTGCAGGGAGACTTGTCAGTCTCCCTGCACAGTCTAAAATAATTTCAGCCGCATGCCCCGCCCCCAAACGGAAGCTCCACCTCCCTCCCACAAGCTCCGCCCCACGCACATTACTGGGAAGCTGCCCACCGGACCAAGAGGACACTGAAAGGTATTTACCTTTTTACAGCCTCCTACCCACAATTCAGATGCCCCCCACCTCACAGACAGTCCCTCTACCCACTATACTGCCCCCCTACCCACCTCACAGCCCCCATACCCACTATACTGCCCCCCTACCCACCATACAGCCCCCTAGCCATCTCACAGCCCCTACCCATCTCACAGCCCCTACCCACCTCACAGACCCCCTACACACCTCACAGACCCCTACCCACTATACAGCCCCCCCTACCCACTATACATCAGCCTTACTTTTGTACACTGCCCTTAGGAAGATAAAAGAAAAGCATAAAAAAAAGCAGATAAAAAGGAAAAGATCAAAAAAATAAAAAAAGGGAAGAAAATAGAAAAAAGGGGATAAAATAAAGGAGGAGAGTACTTGTAAAAAAGGAGAACGAAGGAGCAGAGTACTTGTAGCATTGGAGAAAGAAGGAGCAGAGTACTTGTAAAAAAGGAGAAAGAAGCAAAAGAAAAAGGAAAAAATTGTTGTTGGCTAATAATAATAATAATGTGGGCTACCTAGCTCAGCCTTCCTGCTGGGCATTGCTATAACGAAGGTTAAAAAATAGGAAAAAGGGGGAAAAAAGGTGGGGAGGGGAATTGAGGAGGGAGAGGAGGGGAGCTGATGCACGGATGAGAAATCATATTATGAGCAAACAGAGAAATTGTCTGAATATCACCGAAAGAGGAGACCTTCGTTTGTTCCTTACGAAAATCGAACCAGATATCAAATATTTAGTCTCGCAGCATCAACCTCAAGGATCTCATTAATCACTAGTAAAGGTAATTTCAATTTACTTTATTTTCTCATTAAACTTTATAAAGTTAAAAACACTGTAAACATGCATTAAGTAGAAATAAAAAGATAAATGTATGTACATATTTATTTTTTTTAAAACACCCTCCTTTCTAAAAAATATTCTGCACTTGCGCAAAAACTGGTGGGCGGTAAGGAAATTTTTCCACCAAGAAAGATGCATTAGTGGGCGGTAGGCAGAAAAAGGTTGACTACCCCTGCTTTAAGCAATGCATTAGATATGCAAGTTACTTTCTGATTCAATCCTATGGAAAGGTTTAAAGAAAGGAAGCTATAAAATGATGTTTAAAGATGATATATTCTGCCATCACTTTAATCTATAGAGTACCTAAAGTTTATAGCTTTCATTAATACAAACATATATAATTGTAGTTATTAGTAGAAGGGTCATGTGACTAGCTATTAGGCATATACAATATAAATAAAAGAGTAGTATAAAAAATATATGTACAACACTAAACTGCTCTCTGCTACAAAACATTTATATGTGCAAATAGGTTACAAATTGGCTTCCTTATAAACGAGGTGTGGCAAAAAGTTACGTCTCCAAATATTGTATCAATACAACTTCCCTGATTCTTCTGGTTTTAATATGTTATCATAATTTGGTGGTTTAACATATTCAACAACTAGGTATCTATATACTTAATTTATATTAATTAGAAAGATCTGCAAGCAAACCAGTGTTTTTTTTTTTCATGTAAATATTTAATGGTGTGTCAGGCACAGTATCTTTGCAATGTGTAGATTATTAAAGTGGCACTGTCCCCCACATATAATCTTTATGAAATGCTCATATTGACTGAGTTGGAATTTCACTGAAATTTGTCGTCAATCCTGGTCATTCCCCTCACAGAATCCTTCATAGACCTCAGTGCTGTATTTTCGCACTCAAAAGCCTAATCCTGGAAAAAAACGAATCTAAGATTATTTAAACCAAAATTAAACATCCCATGTACCCAAATACAAAATTTAGCCCTACTCTTACCCTAAACCGAATAATTCAAAATACACATTATATCATAACTATAATCCCCCTCCAACTTTTGATCATTTTAAGACTTAACACTATAAGTAATCTAATTTTGACATCAAAGTGAAGTTGTTGTGGTTCCATGAGGTCTCTAGGCGCCTTCTTACTTACAGGAGTTAAACCAGTTCCCCAGCAACATCTGGCTTTTGTAATGGACTTTTAGGAAGCACAGAATGTCACTGACAGGGACACCTCTGAATGGCTAGAGAGGTCAATTAGTTTATGAATAGGGAACTAATGATTGGCTCAGAGCAGCAAATGACCACTCTAGCCAATCATCTGTGTCCCTGCCTGGCAACACTCTGCTCTTTATGAAAGTCAATGCCAGAAGCGGATGCCACTGGGGGAACTGGAGATGGAGGCTACCTTTGGGGTAAAATAGTTTGAAAACTATATAACCTCTTCAGGTAAGAAAGGGCCTTTTGACATCCTTTCAATTTAGTTGTTATGGTGCCCAGAGTGTACCTTTAACTTCTATATAATCTTAAACCCCTCCTTTACCCTAACCACTTCTAACATGCCTTTAATATAAATCAGCTTCAAAAAAATGTCAAGCTGAATAGTTGTGGGGATCAGCACCTGTCTGCATGAAGAGCACGCTGTGGACATGTCAATCCTCAGAATTACAGTTCATGTTCAGTGAAATATTTTAGGAAGCTGAATGTGGAACTGTTTGCATCCTTAGACCTCTTACCAAGGCAAACATACAGTCTCTCCAGAATGAGGGTGGTGATATCCTAAAAAGAAAAAGTCAAGTTCAACATCTGCAAGGATTATTTGCCTGTAAATGGAATATCAAATAAGTTTTAATATTCAAAGTCTGTCTCCACTCCTGCTTTAACATAAGTGTTATGGACCTAATGTAACAGCAAACGTTTCTCCTATGTTATGCCTTAGTCTCCACTCAACTACAAATTTCAGTTTTGAAATCCCCTTTACTGTGGACAATTTCACAATCAATGCAACTCTCATTATGTTTATCTCTTTGGTAGCACTCATTAAGTGCTCTTATATGTAAACAGTAACTCAGAACATGGTTGCCTTGAGATTCATAGGATGAGCAAATTGAAGACTATATTAAACCGATCCTAAAATAAGGGAAGATTTTATATATTTTTTTTAAATAGCTGCTGGCTTAGAATCTAGTATGTATAAAAGAATATGACCTTTTGTAATTATAGGTATCAGATACCGTTTAAAGACTGCTGTTGCCTATTAAAATAATCTACGGTAATGGCCTGTGAAATGTATTAACATATAGTCTCTTGACTCAAAAGTAACATAATTGTTGCCAATTCATCTGGGCCAATCTAATAAAAGTAGCTTGTTACAAACACTCAGCATATATATTGGATTTGGAGGGGATAACATTATGCTACCTATTTTCTAATTAGGATTCAGTAGGGCTGCAATTTACCTAGCCAACCCACCTATGAAATCAACAGCTGGTGTACAAAAAAAAAGAAAAAAAAAAAAAGAAGAGGATTCTAGAACAGGGCTATTTCATTGTTTACACTTGCTCTCCCACCTCTCACTGAAAAAACATATCTAGACTTGTATTATTCCTCTGCCTATTTGACTGTAATCTATTCTCCAGTAAGAACTTTTTAAAAACCCAACACATATCAACTATCCTCCTCAATTATCTTCACAAACCCAGCTTCTCTTTCTCCTCTAATTTAAAGCGGCACTGTCATGCAGAACTTACCTTCTTTAATCGACTCCTCTTCTCTCCCTCTGTCAGGATCTGTTCTTCATTTTTTCCAGTCTGCTCTAGTTTTCTTTAAAACATAAGACAAAGTAGGGACTAATTTGTCTTAGGAAGGTTTCCTACACTTGACCAGCTTTGACCAGCGGAGGAGCAAAGTGTGCTCCGTTTCCTGTAGTCAAAGCAATTTTTCCACAATTCTTACCTTTCCTCCGTGAACTCGCGATGCTTCCTATCAGTATTCCCAAACGTCCTGTCACTTACACAGAACGCCGGCGAAACAGCCGAATTAATGAAATTCTGATCCGATTCATGCTGCGGCTGCATCTTGCAGCCACTTAGTAGATAACTCCTTAATTCCCACGGTATCTACCTAAATTGGTCTTTCAGTCAACTTCACTAATACTAAGTAAAAATTACTTAGTATTGTTAAATAATCTGCCCCTACTCGCTATTCCGCGAGTAGGGGCATGTCTACTAAACAGTGAGCAGCCTGAGGCGGTTAAAAAAAACAATGAAAACCTCATAGTATCCCCCACTCCCGAGCCCCGCGAGTGGGGGTTCTTAAACTGAACGGGGGACCTATTGGCCCCCCCGGCCCCACCCCTGAGCGGCGGGTGGGGGCCCTAAATGACAATGGGGGTGGACCTACTGTCCTCCACCCCCAGACCCCAACCATGAGGGGCAGGTGGGGGCCCTAAATTATAATAAGGGGGGGGGGACACCTAGTGTCCTCCCGATGAGCCCCACCCCTGAGCGGCGGGTGGAGGCCCTAAACGAAAATGGGGGGGGGGACACCTATTGTCCTGCCGTCCTGCCCCCATCCATGAGCAGCGGGTAAGGGCCCTAAATTATAATGAGGGAGGGGGACCTATTGTCCGCCCCCACCTCTGAGCGGCATCTTCACCCATGGAGGACACCGTGCAGACTGAGCTCCGCAGGGTGGGGAAAGGCTTATAAAGCCTTTCAACGCCCTGCAATTAGGCTCAGAGCGCTCTGATTGGTTGGTTTAAGCCAACCAATCAGAGTGCTCTGACAGGTATACAAAACGACTGACAGGTAAGTCTCTACATTTATTTGTTACAGCACTCTGATAGGTTGGCTTGAAATCCAAACAGAGTGCTCTGTATCATTTTGCACAGTGTGGGAAAATTCTTCTGAATTTTCCCACGCTGTGTAATTTGACTCAAAGCAACACTCTGATTGGTTGCTTTCAATAAACCAATCACAGTGTTATGAGTCAAATGTGTAAAATGACACAGAGCACTCTGATTAGTTGGATTTCAAGCCAGCCAATGAGAGTGCTGTGACAGTTTCCCCCCCTTATTGTTATTTAGGGTCCCCACCCACTGCTCAGGGGTGGGGGCCAGGAGGGAGGACAATAGGTCCACCCCTTGTTGTTATTTAGGGCCCCACCTGCTGCACAGGGGTGGGAGTCAGGGGAAGACACTAGGTCCACCCCCCATTTTCATTTAGGGCCCCCACCCGCCGCTCATGGGTGTGGGCCGGGGGTAGGACAATAGATCCTTCCCCCTTACTGTGATTTAGGACCCCTGCCCGCCACTCACAGGTGGGGGATTGGGGGGGACACACCCCCTGCTAGTTAATAGATGCCCCACCATGGGGGCATTTGTTAGGGGGGTTTAGTGGGCAGCCACTGGCTGCTTACTGTTTAGTAAACATGCCCCTACTCATGGCATAGCGAGTAGGGGCATTCGTGAGATTTTAATATCCATTATACTATTATATTGACCCCCACAGAGTAAGGGAGGACATGGGGGGCTTAGGAAGTGGCGGGGAGCACTGCTCCCTGCCGCTTCTATTTTTACATATTACAAGGAGGGAGCTGCGCACCGGTAGCTCCCTCCTTGTAATAAACCAAACAAACTAACAAAGAGGTCTTCATTCATTCGTTTTAAATTTCTATTAATTTATTTGACTTTTTGACACATTAATGAATAGATGAAATTCCCGTTTGCTTGCCCAAGTGTTTAACTGTGCATGCGCAGGAATTTCACAGCGCTATCTAGTGCGGGCAGATGACATGTCCCATTCATCTACCCACACAAAGATGGCGGCACCTAGGAGCTAGTTCCGGGAACAAAATAAAGATGCAAAAATAGGTAATATGGGGGCCTTAGAGGGCGAAAAAACAGGATTCTGCCATGACAGTGCTGCTTTAAGTAATATATAAGTTTATTTCAGTCGTACACCTATCAATCACTCTTCACTTTGTGAAGAATGTACTTTACATAGTTACATAGCTGAAAAGGGACATGCATCCATCAAGTTCAGCCTTTATCACATTTGTTTTGCAGCAAACTAAGGAAAAATTCCACTTGATCCCAGAATAGCAGTCAGATATCTCATTGGATCAAAAAGCTATTAAACCACAAATGAACTATATCTCTGAATATTATTGTTTTGCAGTAATATCGAATTGCTGTTCAAATTTCTCTATAGACTCTGATAAAACCACTTCTTCAGGCAGATAATCACACATCCTTATTGTTCTTATTGTAAAAAAACCCAAAAACTTTACTTTGCCTTAGACAAAATCTAATTTCTTGGTGGGCGTGGTTTGGCCGTCAACCCTAATGGCCGAATAAACTGAGTGCTCCCGTCCACCCGCACTATAATAAGCACCTACCAGCAGCAACACGACCCTAAATAACCACAGAGTCACCTCACCATGTCCGGTACCGCCTCCGGAGCTAAACCGCCGCGCAAGAAGAAGGGGAATCCTGCAATGCCGTGAGAGATCTGTTTGCGGCCTCCCGCACGCTTCAGACCTCGCAAGATGGCCACCAAACCAGCCCACGTGGCTAGCGCTCCCCTGCACCCGTGGCAGAAAGTGAAGCACAGGACAGCACAGGCGAAACCTCCCAGATCCTCCAGAAACTTTCGGAGGTGTAAAACTATCTGGCAGGGGAAATTGCCCACAGCTCCAGGGAAGAAAAAGCTGAACTCCAAGCTTTGGGTGCACGCACCTCTGTCCTGGAACACCGCATGGAAACTGTGGTGAGAGCACAGCACACAGCAGTGACACTTGCTGACTACATGGCCCAGCAACTGGATAATTTAGAGATGCAGGTGGAGGACCTCTCAAACCATTCCAGGTGCAATAATCTGCGCATAAGAGGCCTCCCAGAATCTCCCAATGAAGGGCCTTTAGCAGCGAAGCTTGAAGATTTCTTCATGTACTACCGGACATACCAGAGGAGAAATGGCAGATTGATCGAGCCCATAGAGCTCTGCATACCAGAAGAATAGAAGGAGCAGTACCCTGCGATGTTATTCTCCACTTCCACTACTACTCCACTAAGGAAGCCATAGTGAGATATAGCAGAAACAACATCCTGCAGTACCAAGATTCCTCGATGACCATTTATCAGGATCTGTCTCCCACTACTCTACAGCACAGGAAGCACTGGAAGTCCATCACTGAACAACTACGGAAGAATGACACCCGATATACTTGGGGCCACCCTTTCAAGCTTATCGCCTTCCGAGATGGCAGGGCCTATACCCTGCAGCCGGGCAATGACGCCGCACCATTACTCCAGGGACTAGACATAGATGTTCCGCCCAACTTTCGAATGCCTCAGCCTGTTCGCCCTGCTCTCACCTCACTCCCCAGCGAGTAGCATGAGCTTCCAGGCGGTGCTGTAAACCGCACCTGAAGATACCATGACAGTACTAACCTTAACATGATGGACTCCACACCTCAGGGAGTGAACTCTCACTTCCACACTGGTCCAGCTAAGTACCATGAGGGAATGGGGACTATTGAGCTGGGAGGCTGAGAGCTCTGGGGGGTACATGTGGAAGACACCTTAATATGCCACGTATTACTACACCAACAGCCTGACTGACAACTTACACTATTTTATTTTTTGTTGCACTGTATATGGGTATTCTTGATCCTATATAATTTGTTTAACACACAACTGTGGTTTCAGACAGTCACTCGAGCAGACACATTACACATCCCTAGGGATGCACCAACATTACTACATCGCCCAGGCACCTACAACGAAATGGGCAGGTAAATAACTGGGGGGAGAGGCCACATTCCCAACAAAAAGGGGGGTGAGGGGGAAAAAGGAATAAAAACCCGTATCAGGCTGACATCTTGGACCCCGGGGAGTGGGGGGGCGGGCAGTGGTCGAGAGATGGTGGGTACAGTCACCACTGTCCGCTTGCAGGGACCGTGGTGACACCACAGTCATCTTGGACCCCGGGGAGTGGGGGGGCGGGCAGTGGTCGAGAGATGGTGGGTACAGTCACCACTGTCCGCTTGCAGGGACCGTGGTGACACCACAGTCCATGCCTCGTCCTGCAGCACTCACGGATACATCTTGCGCCAACCTTTACACCACCTTCCAGGATCACAGGCAGAACATATTAACCATCCTACGGGATAGTCCCCCCTTTCTACTAATCTCATACAGAAATGGTGATGTGTTATATAACTATGTTATGGGTCGTGCACATTGTAGCACAGCTGATTGGGGATGAGAGCCGCCACCCTATAGTGGTAACAATGAGATTCCGACCAGGGGAGGCTTGCACCCCAGACTGCTCTGGCAAACCGTAAGACCAGACTGTTAATTTTCACTGTTTATACACCTCTGTTCTGAGGTTATAGATGCTATGTTATGCCATGTTTTCCTTATTCTTTTTTGGTATCTCCCCACGGCACGGGGAACATTTAAGCTTCTTGTACCCTTGCCCTATACAAACGCAACAACTCAATCCCACACCCAGACCCGACTCTACACCTCCGAACCACACTGCCCAAGCACACACACATGGCCCCACAATGTCGCTGAAAATACTATCTTTTAATGTAAAGGGGTTAAATAACCCCACAAAGCGGCGATTGTTCTTGAGGGAGTTGAAAGCAAAAAGGGCTGATCTTGCTCTAATCCAGGAAACACACCTCCCCAGGTCCGCAACGCTCAGGTTTACCAATATCCAGTACACCAAAGCCTTTGAGGCCAGGGCACTACGCTAGCGCGCAGGCGTAGCAATCCTCACTCACAAAAGCTGTCCCATTCAAGTTTCGGGTCTTGTGGCAGACCCTGAGGGTCGGTATATTTCTATATTGGGTACCCTACATAACACTAAAATCCACATTTTTAATGTATATGCTCCCAACTAACCTGATTCCCAATACTGTAACTCACTCACGACATTGGCTGGGACAGAGGGGGTAGGCGTACTTGTAATAGGAGGGGATTTTAGTGCAGTGGAATGGTCACAGGACAAACTATTTCACGAGTTTCTTGCCAACACCAACCTTCTAGACGCATGGAGAATCCAGCACCCTAGCACCCGGGATTTCACATTCTATTCCACACCGCACGGTACAATACTCCAGGAATCGACAACATCCTTCTTAACGTGGCAGGTATGGCAAAACTTGCGCATTCCACAATAAATAGCATAACCTGGTCTGACCATGCATACATAGAAATCATACTTGACAGGCTCAAGTACTCCTCTAACTGGACGTGGAAACTAAACACTAGCCTTCTCAGAGACAAGGACTTATGTAAGGCCACCAGCACAATCATATCAGAATACTTTACTCACAACATCTCTACAGACGTAGACTCAATAGCTATTTGGGCCGCCCATAAGTCAGTCCTGAGGGGCCACTTCATCAAGGTAGCAACGCTCCTATTGGAGCTGCAAGCAGCTCTGAGAAAAGCAGAACAGCAACACAAAGCAAACCCCACAGCAAGCAAACTGACAGAGGTGAATGCGCTGCGACACTCTTTTAGGGAACTTTTCTTGGAGGGGGTGGCTCATTCCATTTTGTGGTCTCGGCGCTTGTATTATGAATAATCCAACAAAATGAGTACAAAGTTAGCCAGAGCGCTGCGTCCTCGGAGTGTATTTCGACCCATCACTAAAATCCGCACATCGGCAGGGGTCCTAGCAGACACTCCAAACGCCATTAACAAAGTCTTTACAGACTATTATTCGACATTATACAACCATTGCACACAGCCAGAAGGGTCTGCCCCGATGGTTGTGCAGACCTGCACTCATTCCTGTCAGACCTAGATTTGCCAAAAATCAAGGGACCAGAGGTGGGGACCTTTTGTGCACCCATCTCACCACTAGAAGTTGATGCAGTTATCACGGCCCTAAAAGGTAATAAAGCCCCGGGACCGGATGGATTCGAAATGGGGTATTATATGAAATTACTGGCTCCCCAACTCACTACACTTTTCAACCACTTTCTGGATGGAGGTGTACCAGACTCTGACATGGCGCTAGCAAACATCACATTATTACCAAAACCAGGTAGAGATGAGGAGCTAGCATCCAACTACAGGCATATCTCCCTGATCAATTCAGATCTAAAGCTCTATGTCAAAAATGTGGCTACCAGGCTAAATCCGCTGTTGACACGCTTGGTCCACCCTGACCAGGTGGGGTTTGTGCCAGGCAGACACTCTACGAAAATACTCGAAAGGGAGCTGTACTGACATGGTGCATGTCAAGCTCAGGAGGGCTTTCCTTGGCACTGTCCTTGGACGCCGAGAAGGCCTTTGACAGGGTGAAGTGGCTGTACCTCTTTGGACTACTCCGGGCATGGGGCTTTCTGGAACCCTACGTGGTGGCGATCCGGGCCCTATACTCAAACCTCAGAGCCCACACTGATAACTGAGGCCCGTCGCACCACCTTCCCCAAAAGGCAGGGTTGCCCTCTGTCCCCATTTCTCTTCACACTCTTCCTGGAGCCGCTATTGCAGGCCATATGCTGATGACGTCCTTCTTACACTCACAGACTTACTCAGCTCCATGGAGCACCTGATTAAACTACTGGATCACTACGGAGACCTGTCTGGGTATAAAGTCAACATGGCTAAATCCATGGCAATGCCCTTCCACGTTTCAGCCCCGGACATGGCACAGATCAGAATCACATATAAGTTATGCCTCACTGACAGCACCCTCCCCTACCTAGGCATTAAACTTACAGCTGACCACACACAGTTATACCATCATAATTACCCGCCAACGCTCCGCAGCCTGATCCAGAACCTGGAGAAATGGATAGAGAAGCCTATCTCATGGCTATGCAGACTTCACTCAGTGAAGATGAATATCCTCCCCAGGTTGTTTCTCTTTCAAGCCCTACCAGTGCAGGTCACGAGAGGGGACTTGGGGAGAGGGGACTTGGCAGGGTTACAAAAGGCCATAGACACATTCATCTGGCAGAGGAAGTACCCCAGAATTGCACGTAAATTGCTATACTAACCCAAAAATAGAGGTGGGCTGGGGTTACCAAACATGTAACTCTACTACTTAGCCTCACAACTAGCCCAAATTGTGCACTGGCACTCTCCCCCAGATCACAGGAGCTGGGTAGATATCGAATCACTCCTGATGGTAGCTGACTTTCCCCAGTTTTTTATATGGTTACCCAAAGAGAATGGGGCCTTGCCCAGCGATACTAAATTCGATCAGATTATGGGATCAGGTAGCACAAAAGTACTCACTCAGTAAACTCCCATCTCCACTGACACCTGTATTCCGTAACAGGGCCTTCCCTCCGGGGATACGTGCTAGATACTTTAGAGGGATTGAACATACAGGACGCCAAAGATATATACACTTATACGTCGACAAAGCCCTGGTCACATTCGATAGGCTCGCCCCACTATCCAACGGGGACTATTTTAGGTACCTACAAATACGTGACTTTGCATCCAAACCAGAGGTGCAAGCAGCAGCTGCCCGCCCGCTTAAATTTTTTGAGCAAATGTGCTTCCAAGAAAAGCATACATATGTGGTGGAAATGCCCCACAGTCAGTCTTTTCTGGAAGGGGGTGGTAGAACTAGGTTCTAAAATATTACAAAGGACATTAGCTTTAGACCCATGGGCATGCTTACTATCCAAGCCTACTGTATATGAACAGAAACTACTCAACATGATATACTTAGCAGCCAGACGAACCCTGGCACAGCAGTGGTTGAACACTGAGCTCTCCTCCCTCTCATTGGTAGTGGCCAAAATAAAAGACAACTATCTTATGGACAAGTTGACATCCCAGGTCCGCAACACCACTGCCACCTTTCAGAGGATATGGAACCTATGGGAACAATACTCAGAGGAAATGGGTTGTAGGTCGTGAGAACAATTACACATAACGGCATACAACACCACCCCCGGGCCGTGGGATTCTGAGATTCTACTAACCTACCCCTTCTGCTAATTTCATTACCTTTCTTACCTTTTGACAATGAGG